ATTATGCTAAATGAAAGAAACCAGTCACAAAGGACATGTTTGTGATTTAATTTATATGAAATGTCCAGAATAGGTAAAAGCCACAGATAAAAAGTAGAATGGCAGTTGTTAGGGAAGGGAGAAATGGGGAGTGTGTGCTAATGGGCTTCTTTTGGAATGATAAAAATGTTCTAAAATTTACTGATTATGAATGACTAAACTGTATACTTAAAATGGTGAGTTGTATGTTATATAAATTACATCTCAATAAAGCTGTTATTTAAAAAAGTATATCCAGAGGGAGTGGGGGAAGGGAGGAGGAATGACCTAAACATTGTATGCACATATGAATAAAATAAAAATTAAAAAATAAAATAAAATAAAATAAAAAAGTATATCCAAATGAACAAAAGTTTCACACATTTCTTGCTCAGTTCAGCAGTCCTGTTACCAACCTGTAAACATCACTCGAAAATCCAACAGAGTGCTCAGTTCTCAAAACAAATTCTGTGTTGCTTTCCCTTGTGAACACTGGCCTCTTACACGAAACACCCAGCATGGAATGGGCTTTAATATTAGTTCCACGTTACAATAACAACCTCTGTTATAGAGTCAGTAACAAGCCAGAACCCAGTTCCACCACCCACCCTTCCACCCCACACATAATGTCTGCCTGTCCAGTCTCTATCTTGAACACCTACCCTCCCAAACTGTGGGCACAGAGGAAGCCAACTTCTCCCCTGCTTCCTGGGGGGAACAACTAGGACAGCTTTCAGAAAGCCAGAGCTGAAGGAAGGGCCCTCACCCACAGGAACAACTGGCCAGAAAACAGATGTACCTGGCCCCAACACACCCATCACTCTTCTACACACAGGCCTCTTTAGTCTGGTTTTTTTTTTTTAAACTGCATCTACAAAGATTTTTATAGTTAGTTTCAAATTCCCTCAGCAGTTATAGGTTTTGATCTGTTCCTAATTATGGAAAAGAACCCTGGGATCAGTTCAGAGTGAAGGAACTAGAGTTTAGCATTACCATTTTTAAAGCACCAATGTTTACATGAATTTCCTAGTAAAGAATTAGATTTCCTCACTTTGCTTTAAAAAAAAAAATGAGACTCAAAGGCAAAAAAGCTTTGCCTGCATTAAAAGTCATACTCAAAATTTAACTGAATGGCTTACATTGCACTAGTCTCTTCCTTTAATACACCTCTACAGTTTTACTGAACTAGTACAGTTGCTAAGTGTACTTTTGTGTATGTATTTGAGGGCTACACTACACCTAGAAAAGCTACAGCTCACGGGAAATAGAGCAGTAGAGAGTCCCCCTTGTTAAAAATTCAGTGTATCAACCCAGAAAGACGTCCGCTCAGCCTCCACATGGTGCACAGCCAGATACCATCCCAAGTGCAGAGAACCAGTGTAGACCAGGCTCTCAGGCAAAGACATAGGCCTAGTCAAACTGTCTGTGAATACTGCAGTCACTTGTTCCTGAGAGTAATAAGACATTTTCAAGAAGACTTACCTGCCTTTTCAAGGAAATCTTGACAAACTCAATAGTGAGCATAGTGAGCACACCATCGTTTATTTTCTCAAGAGCTCCCCATTTGTGTGACCCAAACCAGGTAAGGAGCACTAAGAAGTCAGGGGGAGATCAACATCTCTTTAGTTCTTAAACTTAAAATTATTACTTTTTAAAGAGTGGGGAAGAGCTCCCTCTAGAAGGACAGCTCTAAAATCATGTCAGTGACTTTCAGAGGGTGGAGCAACAGAGGGAGGAAAAAACTAGAACTCGTCATTGGCAACAGCACGGCTATCTCCACACAAAAGCCTGCTTATGTGCACACAGCCCTTTTTTCAACTGGGGAAAACATTAGCAGCCTATGTCAAGATTCTCACTAAGAATCTGAAAATACTAATCATTTTCCAGCCATGAGCAACAAAGCTTGGTACTCAACTGAATTCATAACGTGAGGTCAATATGAAAACAATCTCAACTTAAAACAAGTCAATAAATTTTATTTACTATAGCCCAAATCAAGTACTCTACATTAAAACAACTCAGGGCCTCACGCTTGCTAGACAGGCCCTCTATACTTGAGCCACGCCTCCAGCCCTTTTTGCTTTAGTTTATTTTTCAGATAGGGTCTTACATTTCTGCCAGGGCTGGCCTCAGACTATAATCCCTAATAGCTGGGATTATAGATATGAACCACCATACCCAACTTGTCAGAGAAATTTGAAGTTTTAATATATATATATATACTCAGTATATATGTGTGTACGCACATGTATATATCTTAAATTTTTATTGTCAAATGTTACAGAAATAGAATCATACAGTATGATTCCAATATTTCTAATTTTTTTCAGCAATATTTCCTCAGAATTTATCAAAACTGTTATGTAAATCAACAGTTTATTCTTTACTTATTTCTTTTTACCTTTTTGGTGGTGCTGCGGTCTGAACTGAGGGCTTCACACTTGCTAGGCAGGCACTCTACCACTTGAGTCACTCCCCCAGTTCCCCCTTGTTTTCTGAGACAGGGTCTTGCTATGTAGCCCAGGCTAGCCTTGAACTCACAGTCCTCTTGCCTCCCAAGTGCTGGGATTATAGGCAAGCACCATCACGCCTCCCAGTTAATTTCTTTTTATTGCTGCATATTACTCCATACAGTGTATGTACCAAAGTTTATCTCACCATTCACCCATTGAGGAACATTTAGGCTGTCTATAATTTTTAGCTATTATTATGAATAAAACTGCTAAATAATGCTCTGTATGTGCTATAAACAGTGGTTTAAAAAAAGGAATTTGTGTGGCCTTTGGTTTTCATTTCTCTGAGATAAATGCTAAGAAATGCAATCAGTAGATTATATATGTTACATATATATATAATATATATATGTTATATATGTTATATATAACAGATTATATCTGTTACAAAACAGATTTAGTTTTGTAAGAAAATGCCAAACCATTTTCAGGGTGGCTAGATCATTTTATGATGAGCAACGTATGCATAATCCAATTTCTCCCCATCCTCTCCAGCTTTCAGTGTTATCACTATTTTTAATTTTAGCCATTTTGGTAGGTGTATAGTGAAATCTCATTGTAGTTTTAATCTGCATTTTTCTTATGTTATTGAAACTAAACATCTTTTACATGGTTACTTGCCTATGTATATACTCTGGTGAAATGTCTCCTTATATCAGTTTGTCCATTTTCTATTTGGATGTTTGTTTCTTAACTGGTGAGTTTCCAGAATTTTTATACTATAGCCACAGTGCTTTGTTAGACACATGATTTTTTTAAAAATACTTGTCTTTTTACACTCTTAACAGGGTTTTCCATAAAGCAAAATCTTTTGGTTTTGTTGTGGTCCCATTATCAATTTTTCCTTCCATGGATCATGTTTTTAGTGTAAAGTCTAAACACCTTTTGCCTAGCCCTGTGAGGCAAAGGTACTTTCTTATTGTTTTCTAAAAGTTTTATAGTTTCATGTCTTACATTAGATCTGTGGTCTATCTGCATTGCATTAACTTCACATAAGATGGGAGGTTTAGGTCAAAGTTCATTTATTTGCCTACGGTAGGTTAAATGTCTGATCTATTTGTTGGAAAGGGTATCTTTTCTCTACTGGATTGCCCTTATTCTCTTGTCAAAAATAAACTGGAAAGGCTGGGCGTAATGGCTTACACTGTAATCTCAGCTACTTGGAAGGCAGAGACAAAAAGTTAGGAAGTGCCCCATCTCAACAAATAAACTAGGCAGGGAGGCATGCACCTATGATTCAAGCTTAAGTGGAAGAATTGTGGTCTCAGGCCAACCGTGGGCAAAAACAAAATAAAGCAAAAAAAGGGCAGGGGGCATGGCCTGCCTAGCAAGTGTGAGGCCCTAAATTCCAACCCTAGTACTGAACCCCCTCCCCCACCCCGAAAAAATCAGCCAGTAATCTTTATGTGGTTCTTTTTCTGTATTCTGAACATCAGTCCACCCATTGACTTGGGTGTCTAATGCTCCACCAGTAACCACAATGGCTTGATTATTTACCTAAACAGTATACAGTATAAGCCCTAATGTTGGGTACAGTGATTTCTCCATTATACCTCTTTTTAAAAATGGAAGCAACTCTAGAACTTTTGCCTTTTCCTATGAATTTTATTTATTTATATTTTTTGTGGTACTAGGGTTTGAACTCAGGACCTACACCTTGAGCCATTCTACCAGCCCTTTTTGTGATGTGTTTTTTTTTTCCTCAGATAGAGTCTCATTAACTATTTGCCTGGGCTGGCTTCAAACCACTATCCTCCTGGTCTCTGCCCCCTGAGTAGCTAGGATTACAGGCGTAAGCCACTGGCGCCAGGCTAAATTCTACACATCCTTGACCTTCACATCCACCCATAATGAAAGAGGTATGGAGCAAGGGCTTGGAGCAATGATTATTAAAAAAGCTGAAATGGGGCCATGGGTCTTGGATGGGAGGGTGCACCCTCATCTCCTGGGAACAGCAGAAGAGAGCAGGTTGACAATGAGAGTCCATAGCAGGCAAACACTGACCCTTATGACTACCTCATACAGTCTACTGTTGGTACTGTCTATTCTGCTTTAAACTCTGGTAAAAGTTTTAGTGTCTTTTATCTCTTTCCATTTGGCTTTCACTAGTTATGTGTTTGTTTCGTTTATACTCACCTTATTCATTCCATAACTGAAGCTCTTTGTGTAGTTCTATAGGCTTTTACATGGCAAGTGCTCAATGAAGAAATGAATATACATAGAAGCACCAAATTTGCTATATCCAACTTACTTTCAAACTAGTTAAAAATGTCCTTTCACATGAAACATGGCACCCCCACTACAATCTTTGTAGTATTATGTGCTCAGTACTCCCTCGCCATAAATCTTACAGAAGCAAAGCAACATCACATATTGCATTTATCACAAGTTCCAAATTAGTGAATTTAGTTCTCCCTAAAAAGAGACTTTACTATCTTTGTATGTATGAAGCCAAAAAGCATTTCTTACCTGAATTTTGATGGGCCAGGTGAAATTACTGACATAAACAAAGAAAGTGATATTTGGATGGTTGCGAAAATCAAACTTCTCATTAGAAAAGCTATCTTTGTACTCCTTAATGTTGGTTTTTGAAGCAACAGGCATCTCTTCTCCAGCCTGGGTTCCAGCTATTAGGAAGGAAGAATGAAAGTAAAAGACCTTTTCTTTGGAACAGAATCTGCCTATTATCCTTAATAATAAAGATAAAAGCTGGGTGCCAGTGGCTCACTCTTGTAATCCTAGCTACTAGTAGGCAGAGAGCAGGAGTCAGAGAGCAGGAGGGTTGCCAGCCCCAGGCAAACAGTTCAAGAGACTGTATCTTGAAAATAACCATCACAAAACAGCACACAAGTGGTAGAGTACCTGCTTTGCAAGCATAAGGCCCTAAGTTCAAACCCCAGTACCACCAAAAATAAATAATTTACTTAACGTTTACAATATCCGAGGAATGGTGTTTAAAAGTTCAATCTTCTTTAATTCTAACAACACCTACTATTCTCATTTATAGATTAGGAAATTGAAGTTCCAAAAAATTAAGTAGCTTGTTTCAGGTCACACAACCAGCAAGGAGTGGAGTTGGGATTTGAAGCTAGGCAGGCTGATACACAATCCAGAATGGTTCTACCAGGATCCCCTGTAACACCCCCCACTCCAACACACACCCGGAAACTGGCAACACACGGCCATGAAACTGTAGGTATGAGCAGAGTCCTATTAACATGAACCAGCATTCCCTCTGCACTTTATTTGCATTTCCTCTTCACTTCATTTGTATTTCCTCTTCACATTGGTGTGAATACCAGGGACATCGATTCACCCCTCACTTCCTAATCTAGCCATTGCCTCGAGTATCAACAGAGAGGAAGAGGCTCCAGGGGTCACTTTAGTTCTCCCTACTCCTACTAGCTACCAGTGTATTTAAATCCCCCCAGTCTAGTATAACTCCATCTATTCCCAGATGGCTCTTCCACATTCCATATTCTACCCCAGTCAGGAACTTAAGTGTCTACAAAGACTCACAAAATGGCCTTTTTCCATATCTGAGTTAAGCCCTAGGACTACCATCCAGACTGTCACATCTTCATTTAGACAGCCATTGCAAACCTTCCCATGTTCTAAAATGCTGTTTTTCCTCCAAATAATCTGATAATTAATAGACTTTTTCTTAAAAGTTTGTCCTCAATGCAAGTTTCTGAACTTTTTCGAAATTCTATATAACCTCTTTCTTGTTGTGATGAGACTGGGGTTTGAACTCAGGCCTTCATACTTGCAGGCACTCTGCCACTTAAACCACACCTCTAGTCCATTTTGTCGCCGTTATTCTGGAGATGGGGATCTCATGAACTATTTGCCTGGCATGGTCTCAAACCTCGATTGGGAGAACAGTCTCAGTCTCCCAAATAGTTTAGGATTATAGGTGTTGGTATTATACCAGCACCTTTCAACTAATACAAAGTGGCATGCAAAAGTTATATTTGTTTTGTTTTGTTTTTTTTGCAGTACTGGGGTTTGAACTCAGGGCCTACACCTTAAGCCACTCCACCTGCCCTTTTTTGTGATGGGTTTTTTTGAGATAGGGTCTCACGAACTATTTGCCTGGGCTCACTTTGAACCTCAAGCCTCCTGATCTCTGCCCCCAAGTAGCTAGGATTACAGGCGTGAGCCATCAGAGCCTGACTATATTCTTATTTTATACCAGTCTAGTTGGTTTATGTTTTGACCAAACGAATGTATTGTTAACAGCAGTAATGACAATGAAAACATAGCAATCATTTAGTGAGGATTAATATGCTTCAAGCACCACACTAAGTACTTCCTTCATGATTTCATTTAACCTTAATAACACTACATTACTATCCCATTTTATACATGAGGAAACTGGCTCAGAAAAGCTTGGGTAACTTGCCCAATAGCACACTGCAGAAAATTCAAACCCAGGTCTATCTGCTGAGTTACCAAGTTATGTAGTGATTATCTAGCATAAATACTATATCAGAGTCATCAGATCTTTAAAAGCAAATGCTGTGCTTTTAGAGCCTGGTCTAATTCCCAAAGTTCTCTGTATCTGCCAACATCTCATTTTACTTAAAATGTTTTCAGTTCTTGAAACTCTGGATCTGGAATTTTTTTACCTCTGAAGCATGGATATAGATGATGATGGCAGAGCCAGAGCAGTGGCCTCAGGAAAGGTGAGAGTGGAATAGTAGGGTAGGGGGGGCAACCACACTAGGCTCTGTCAGTTATAACCTCATTTAATCTATTCAATTCTAGGAGGTAAGAATTGTTATACGGCTTTATAGATGAATAGTCCTGAAGTCTACAGAGGGGTTTTAAGACACTTGTTCAAGGTCTCAGAACTAAGTGATAAAGGTCGAAGGTTGGGTTTTAACCCCCCTTCCTAATTCCTATATTACATCCCTCCGTCTATCATCTCCACTTGCTGTGTCTCTAGGTGTATCTTTACCTGAGAAGCTGGCAGCCCAGGTGATGTTGAGGTTGAAGTTTTTGGAGGCATTGATGAACATGTCCAAATCCCTGTTTTGCTGATGGCGGTTGCAAATAATTAGAACATTAATTATAAAAGTGTCCAGATTTTAAAAAATAAACAATAATTAGATTTTTACCACTCTCAACTTTTAAAACTACAGATATTTTAGAATGTCTCAAGAGAAACTCATGTTTATAGAAGAGTTAACAAAATTCCTAACCTATTTTCCTCAACCCAAGCAATACACCCCACAAGAAATTTCCTTCCCATAAAAGAATATAGAATTCAATGCTTTATCCAATGCCTAACTATGAAAAAGTACCTTTTAACATGACCCTCATCAGCACACAAACATCAGGGTTCACACTTACTAGGAAAATACCTTATCCCGTGCTCCAATGTCCTTCCTGCCAACCCTCCCTCCCTCCCTTTTTGGCAGGGTCTTGTTATATAGCCCAGGCTGGCCTCCAACTCAAAATCTTCCTACCTTAGTTTTTCAAGTGCTGGGATTATAGGCAATGTACCAGCACTCCTGGCTTAGTGTCCCAATTTCTATTTATAATTTAAACCTACATACTTCTAGATTCATACATTAGATTATAAAATTTCTCCTAAACTGGAAATAATTTTTTAAAAACATAAAACTGAAATATACAAAATTTGAAAACATTTTTCTATCACTAAAATATTATTTCAAGAGAAGTACGTTGAGAACCTTGTTTCCCCCTTTAGAAATACCGTAATTCAAAGACCCAGTCTAATTAATTTTGATTCTTGGCTTTAATGACTAAAATATTTTTTTCTAAGAAATCTAATGAGCCAGATGGGAGAAGACACTGTTGGGTGTGCTAGTTAAATTCTAACACTGATTTTTAGTTTTCACTGAAATTTGATCAGTAAATCTCTTTCTTGTGGTCAAATAAATACTCTAATAAACTAATTAGATGTTGTATTCTTAAATATTTTGAATGGATCAAATCATGCTGAAATTCTTCATATTAAAACATCTTGAAATAGGTTTGAAAAACTAGATTTTCAATAGCATTGTTTTGATAATTACAGCATAAAACCACAACAATGGAAACATTTGCAAATAGCCATTTTCAAAATGTGATCTCCAAATCTGAGGCTTCTCTCACAAAGCAGTGATCTTCTCATTCATTGAGAAAGCCTCTCCTTCTCTTGCAAGGATAAGATTTATATTTAACAAACAAACATGCTGGCAGCACACAACTGACAATTACTTCTTCCCATGTAAAAGATAGGGCACACACATTTGGATAATTCTACTAGATATCCTGTTATAAATAGGGAAATGCAGAGAGGTCCAAAGATTGTCACGGTCACCCACAATCTTGTTAACAAGTATTACAAAGACTCTACTATTTTTACTTAAATAAAATTAACAGCCATTACCTCTTAATAGACTGAGTACTTCAACAACTTCCTTATTAATAAAGCAGTAGTGAATTTTACCTGTGGGACTTTTGCTATAAACTCACCATAAAATCTTTTTTTTTTTTTTTGTAGTACTGGGGCTTGAACTACATGCTGAGCCACTCCACCAGCCTTTTTGTGAAGGGATTTTTTGAGATAGGGTCTTTTGAACTATTTGTGAGGGCTGGCTTTGAACTGCAATCCTCCTGATCTCTACCTCCTGAGTAGCTAGGATTACAGGCGTGACCACCGGCACCCAGCTCATCATACATCTTTTTAAAAAAATTCCAGTCAACACAGCCATTCAAACAATATACACAAAAATATTTTTTTTAACCTAAAAACCACTCACTCTTAAGAATATGTCCTCTCTAGTTCATCTTTTCTTTTCTAAATTTTTTTATTTTTACAGGGGAAAGCACAAACACAGTCCCCCCCTACCACAAATTATGCAGTCAAGTTTTCCACATTTGGGGAAATCGCAAGGGTCAGCACATCTGGAGTGCAATGGGTAAGCCTCGCCCTGGGAAAACCACTTTTGTGATCATGGTATCTCCCCTGCCAGGTAAGTATAGTTAGTTCATCTCTTCTTAATTTTATCATTGAAAGGGAATTTTAAAAACAAATCTTACTTTTCACTTAAGTTGTAAACACACAACACTATGGACTTTGTTCTACTACTTTTTTTAAATTTAGTAATGTTTTTTGATAACATTTGTTAACAAAAGAATACACACTGGCTTATGGTCAGATTGTTTTTCATATATTATTTGTCATGTTCATTGTGATGAATTTTGTGATGGTAAAATGGCCTTGCGTGTTGATAAGAAGTGAGAAATCTCTAAGGAGGTTTCTAAATACCTTACCATCAAGTTTAGTAAAATATTCTTAAGTACTGGAAGGGGACTGAATGATTTTATATTTCATTAAGGAAATTAGCTGGGAGGAGAGTTCAACTGTGGTACTAATGCTTACCATGAGCAGGGCCTTGAGTTTCATCCCCAGCACTAAGAAAAAAATCAAGAAAAGAAATTGTAGCCGGGTGCTGGTGGCTCACACCTGTAATCCTAGCTGCTCAGAAGGCAGAGATCAGGAGGATCTCTGTTGGAAGCCAGCCCAGGCAAAATAGTTCAAGAGACCCTATCTAGAAAAAAACCATCACAAAATAAAGGGCTGGTGGAGTGGCTCAAGGTGTAGGCCCTGAGTTCAAACCCCAGTACCACAAAAAAGAAAAGAAAAGGAATTATAAAGGTGTATCTTTATACTCTGGATGCTTTGCTTTTAAATGTCATGATGTGTTGGCTCTTTTCTACCACTTGGTAATACCTTCCAGCAGGTTGGGCTTCATCATTAATGACAGTAGATATAAATCTACATTTCTAATAGTTATTTTAACCATTAAAATGATTTCTGGCCGACTTCTTGTTGAACCCGACTAAACCTTTACTGTTTTGCCCCCTTATGAAGCTAAGAATTCCTTCTAGGAGCACAAGTGTCACCTCTACTACCTTCCTTGCTGTTCTCTTGTGTTTGTATTACTGGAGTTAATCTCATTCAGCAATTTCATTGTGGGTAATTTTTAAGCGTCTATCTACTTTGGGAGGATAAACCTTGGCTCTGCCATTTGTCCTCTTGGGCACTGTTGATGGAACTCCCTTTGTGATCTCTGTATGAGGTTCTGATGTGCTAACAGGCAAGCAAAGTGTATGTGGAGCTAATGTCAGTCTGTGAATCAGAACTTAGTAAATTTTTTTTTTTTTTTTTTTGTGGTACTAGGGTTTAAACTCAGGCCTTCACCTTGAGCCACTCCACCAGCCCTATTTTTGTGATGAGTTTTTTCAAGATAGGGTCTTGAGAACTATTTTCCCAGGCTGGCTTTGAACAGCGATCCTCCTGATCCCTGCCTCCTGAGTTGCTAGGATTGCAGGCGTGAACCACTCGTGCCTGGCTAGTAAATCTTTTAACACTGTTCTTGCCTTTGAATGGACAGGAGATAGAATGTAGACCCTAATATTTCTTTCTGCACCTTTAAAGATAATCCTGCACTTCATCCTGAGACTACTGCTAACATAGTACTTCTATCCATGATGACCAAGAAAATGAGCCACATAAACTAAAAACAAAATAAGACTAGTTTTAAAAATCTTACTTCATCGGGAGTAGCCACAAAATTGATGGCTGTGTAATAGCGGTCATCTTCCTGGGACAGGCTAAAAGTGAACTGATAGTCAATAAGAAGAGTATCTATGGAAAGAAAGAAATGCATATTAAAAACTGGTACAAAACAAAATAAAAGGTATACTGTACACATGTATGGAACCACCACAATGAAATCCCCTCATATTATTAATGATTATGCTAATTCAAAAATAAAATTAAAACCCCCAAATACAACAGGTCTCTGGAGGTTCAGATTGCTTTTCTCATAAATTAAATAGGAAAGGACTATGACTCACCAATACCTAGGTTTTTCAAAGGAAACCAGTCCCTTTAGTTAAATTACTCACTGAACCCTCCTTATGTCATGACCCTGTTCTATAAATATTAACTGAATATTTATACATACTAAATTTTGCTTAAGAATACAAAGATATGGCAGGTGCCGGTGGCTCACGCCTATAATATTAGCTGCCCAGGAGGCAGAGATCAGAAGGCTCACAGTTTAAACCCAGCCTGGGCAAACACTTGGAGAGACCCTATCTCAACAATACCAAAGGCAAAAAAGTGCTGGCAGAGTAGCTCAAGTGGTAGAGCACCTGCCTGGCAAGTGTGAGGCCCTGAGTTCAAACCCTAGTACCACCAAAAAAAAAAAAAAAAAAAAAAAAAAAACAGAAGGGAAGAAAACATTCATAGGCCAATGTGACACAGCTTGAAAGAGAGCTTACTGCCCCAAATTGGTACAATTTAAAATGTACTGTAAACTCAATAATAATAAAAAACCTGATTACAAAATGGGCAAAGGGTTGGGGACATGGCTCAAGTGGTATAGTGCCTGCCTAGCAAGATGAGACCCCGAATTCAAACCTAGTATATTGACCCCACGTTCCCCCCCCCAAAAAAGGCAAAGGACTTGAACAGACATTTATCCAAATAAGTATATCAAATGGCCAATAAACACATGAAAAGATACTCAATAACAATAGCCATTTGAGAAATGCATATCCAAATTACATCGAGAAACCACATCATTCCCATTAGGATGGCTACTATCAGAAGAATCAGAAGATAGGAAGTATTGATGAGGACGCAGAAAAACAGGAATGCCTGTGGATTGCTGATGGAAATGTAAAATGGTGCCGGTGCCGCTGCTACAGAAAACAGTATGGCAATGTCTCAAAGAAATGAAACACAGAACTACCATACGACTTAGCAATTATACTTCTGGGCATATACCCAAAAGAACTGAAAGCAAGGTCTGAAATGGATATTTATACCCAACAGCATTATTCACAATAGCCAAAAGGTAGAAGCAATCCAAGTGCCTACTGACTGGTGAAAAGATAAGCAAAACATGATATACAAAATGAAATATTATTCAGTTGTAGAAAGAAATTCTGACATATACTACAATACTGGTGAACCTTGAGGACATTACATAAAGTGTAATAAACTGGTTGCAAAAAACAAATGTTAAATGATTCCATTTAGATGAGATACCCAGAGTAGTAAAACTCACAAAAACAGAAAGTAGGGTGGGTAGTTGCAAGGGGCTGGGAGCAGGGAAAATTGAGGAGTTATCGATAAGTTTATTTTTAACTGTTCAAAAACTGCTAAATGGTTTTCCAAAGTGGCTGTACCATTTTATATTCCCATAAGCAATGCATGAAGGTTCCAGTTTCTCAACATCTTTGCAAAAGCTTGGTGTTGGCTTCTCTCACCCCACTCCATGATAAACAGATTTTAATGTGCAATATTACAAAAATTTCACTGTCCAATTTTCCACTTTCATATTTCAACCTTTAAGAAATGATCAGGGGCTAGGCCATGGTTCAAGTGATAAAGTGCCTGCCTAGCAAACTTGAGGCCTTGAGTTCAAATCCTAGTACCACCAAAAAAAACCACAAAACAAACAAACCAAAAAAATGATCAGTTCTTCAGTTTCGGTATGGTACCAAAGGATACTATCCATAATTATTTGAAATGGGTATTGAAATACTCCATCCTTTTCCTGTCTGGTGAGGCCGTTTGGTTTTTGTTTTTTTTAATGTGTTTAACCAGACTTATTACAACAGATTGAAAGTAGAAGATGAGATTATAGTTGTCTTATAGTATACCATAGTATTTTTTGAGTAATAATGGAGTTTGAACTTGGGCTTTGCACCTGAGCCATGCCTCAATACCAGCTTTTGATTCTAGTCATTCTGGGACTGTATCTCACTGTGGTTTTAATATATCTATCCCAAATGACTAATGATGTCAAGTTTTTTTTTTTAATTGCATATTGGCCTGTCATATATCTTCTTTGGTGAAATGTATATTTAAATCTTTGCCTGAGCTGGTGGTTCACACCTATTATCCTAGCTACTTAGGAGGTTGAGAATGAGAGAATTATAATTTGAGGTCAGCCAGGGCAAACAGTTCATCTCTAAAATAACAGAACAAAATGGACAACAGGTGTGGCTCGAGCAACAGAGTGCCTGCTTTACAAGCACAAAGCCCTGAGTTCAAACCCCAGTCCCCAAAAAATAAATCTTTGCCTGTTATTTTGCTTTGTTTTGCAATACTGGGGACTGAACTCAGGGCCTCATGCTTGCTACCAGACAATTGCTTTACCAGTTGAGTCATGCCTTGGTTCTTTTTCTTTTGTTTTTTCAGATGAGGTTGTACACTAACTTTCCCAGGCTGGTCTAGAACCGTATCCCTTCTATGTCTGCCTACCAAGTAGCTGGAATCACGTAAGTGTGCCACCATGCCCGGCTCTCTGCCTGTTTTTAATTATAACTGCCTTCTTATTCAGTTCTAAGAGTTCTTTATATATTCTAGATACATGCTCTTTATCAAATACATATTTTGCAAATATTTTTCAGTAGCCTGTGGCTTTTTAAAGGTATTTACATTTTTTTTAAATTTTGATATCTCAATCAACTTTTTCTTTTATGATTTATACTTTTAGAATCATATATAAGAACGTTTTTCCCTACCCAAGATCAAGAAGTAATAAATATGACTAGAAGTTCTAAGTATGGGTCACATTCACAAGTTCTAGTGGACATGAATTTTGAGGGGATGCTGTCCGACCTAGAACAGCAGGTATATAATTACACTGGAATTGCCAAACATTAACTCCTTTTCCTCTGGTTCTACAATCTGGACTACTATGTGGATTCTCATACAGATAGAAAATGCATTTACCCACAAAGATTTGGTCACCTTGCCAGATTCACCTTTTACTCCAAGATAATCATTGGTATTTTATGTTATATATCTGTTCCTAAAGAGGTGGTTAACACAAATTAGCTCTAGAGAGAATTATGAAACTTTATGTGTATTTTAAGAATTGTTTTTGATCTGTATCCTGAAAAATAAAACAATAACCTCAACCAGGTAATGGCAAATGAAGTAAGGCTTCAAGAGAACAGAAACAACGAAACCCAGAGATACATGTCTCTATATTGTTCCCTTTATCTGCTCCATAGGACACTAACATAACACACTAACATAAACCACAACCACAGCTTAGAACAGTGTTCCTAGGCAAGCCCACTCAGTCAGGGGACACTTCTATGGGGGGGTTGCCATATTCCTCAAGCATTCTCAAACCATGATAAAGAAAACAACGGAGTTTTGTGGAACTAACTACTATGCTTCTAGAAATAAGAATCACAAAAACACTTACAATAGCATGTTCCTTTGAGAGGGTTTCCCTGGTATCGATTTTCTACCTCACACCTAGGAGGAAAAAAAAAATTATTTTCTACTGCTACTTAAAATAAAATCTATATTCACTTTAAAATCAAGCAGATTCTCTTCTACAAAGTACAAGTAGTTTTGAATCATTCCTCACTCTTTCACCATTATTAGATCAAGTGGACTAACAGGAGTTGCATGAATTGTGCTGCTGACTCTACAGTAGTTACCACCACCAGTTACATCAAAACAACGGATAAACATTTGCCAAAGCACATGAGATAAATCCAACTGTAATAAATTGAGACCCTATTTACTTATTTATTTATTATTGCTATTATTATTTTTGGTGGGACTGGGGTTTGAACTCAGGGTTTCACGCTTGCAAAGCAGGTGCCCCACCTCTCGAGCCACACCTCCAGTTCGAGACCCTATTTATTATAACGAAAAACACATTTTCATTCTTGTGTGGACTACATATTCTTCTAAAAGTGCAGCTGAAACATCTTTCAAATATTCATTTTTCACTCTTTCCTCTTCTCCCTGGGTCAACTAATCCTGTTCACTAAATACAAGAAAGAGAAAAATAAACACCAAGAATCACTTAAAAACACAAACAAAAAAACTAGTATTCATCAATCTAAAGGAAAAAATAAACTCTACCTAAAAAGAATTATTATATTTTAGTCAGCTGCTGGTGGCTCATACCTGTCATACTTGGGAGGCTGAGGTTAGGAGGATCATGGAAAATAGTTCTTGAGACTCCATCTCCAAAATAACCATGGCAAAATTGACTGGAAGTTAGGCTTAAGTAGTAGAGTGCCTGCTTTGCAAGCATGAAGCTCTGAGTTCAAACCTAAGTCCCACCAAAAAAAAATATTACTTTTTAAATTTTTACTGGTTTTTTGGACAAAGGGTCTCACTATGTAGCCCAGGTGGTCTTGTACTCTCAATCCTCCTGCTTCAGCCTCCTAAGTGCTGAGATTACAGGCGTGTACCACGATGCCCAGCAACAAAGAATTATTACTCTCCCCACAGATGTCATCTATAAATATCAGTATAGTCCAGTCTCCCACTTCACACTTAGGCAAGCACAACAGCTATGAAGCATGAGGACAGGAGGGGAAATTGGGTGAAGCTAAGATACGATAAGCAGGGACAATGCCTTTTTATCCAGGAGATGCCTGGTAGTTGCTTATAGCCACAATCTCTTGGAGACTTGAAAATCTTTCACTGGATACTAACTCATGTCTCCTGTGTGCCTAACAGAGGACAAGAATAATTAATTTTGCTCTAACACATTTTTCTGTTTAAAGGAGCCTAAATCAAAAAGTTAAATTTAATCTTTGTTTAGACTTTTCTTCATGTATTACTTTACATGAAACCAGTAACCATACACATTGATATAAACTACAACATGTATACAGACCAATTCTCTGCTGAAAATAATGCTATAAATGTTTCAAGTACTGATGGCATTATTACTATTGTTCTTTTTTTTCTGTATCACGATTTGAACTCAGGGCCTTGCATTTGCTAGGCAGTAAGCCACAGCCACAGCCACAGCCCTTTTTTGTTCTTGTTTATTTTTTACATAGGCTTTCACACTTTTGTGGAGGCTGACCTCAGACCACGGTCCTCCTACCTCCACTTCATGTGTAGCTGGGATTACAGGCATGTGTCACCTTGCTCAGCTTGTCTTTTTGAGATAAAGTCTTGCTAACATTTTAGCGGGCTGGCCTCAAACTCCAATCCTCCCATCTTGGCCTCCCACATAGTGGTGATTACAGACAGGTACCATCATGTCTGGCCTACTTTTGCTCTTTAAGAAAAATAAAGTTTACCAATAATGTATCTGCTTGTTTAAGCTCAATGTTTTCATACTAAACACTTCTTTCTTAAGCCTCTTCTTGGGCAAATCTGAATATATACATTTCAGGAAGTTTTCTAGTGAGGAAGACAAGTATATGTTAATTGGGGGAAAATCTCTCTTGTGCCAACACACTAGGATACTAAAAAAATTACCACTAGCCCCCTACCAATAGATGGGGAAACTAGGCTTAATGGAGGCCAAGCCAGGTCTGAACCCAAGTGCTGAACTGTCATCCTAATGGATGAAAACTCCAAATCAAATCCTCCCCTAGAAATAGTAAACATACTTCACCAAGAAAAGTGTCAGAACAAGGACAGATGGTTAAAGCAAGAGGATCATCTTCACCATCAGACCAAAATGCCATCACTGGAATGCCAGCTCTCCTAACTCTACCCTTTGGAAGGGAGTGTAATCGCCTGATGTGATAAAATTGAGTAGTTGCTAAAGTTAAAATAACTAACCCAAAGTAGCAAGCCAGGAAATGTCAGTGTCACTGAACAGTTATAGAGCCCTTGCACACACGTGCACACACACATGCAGACACACACACACACAGACACACACAGAGCCATTAAAGAATTGCTGCTAATGCCCCTTCAATTTTGGGGGCTGACCTGACCAAAACAGAAAGAGCACATTTTCAAACTAATCAACAAAGGAATCCCTGGGAGCATACAGCAAGGAGGCATAGGAAAGGGGGTGGCTTTCAGAATTCAGGCAGCTTTGTGCCCTGGTAGAGAGTGTGGTACTCACAGGTGGCATTCATCCCCCTTGACGCCTTTGGTGGTGCAGAAGCACTTGCCCGAGTTGGTGTTGCACAGTGATGCGTGCCCATTGCACTTGCATGCTGAGGAGAAGGAACGTGAAAGCACGTCACACAAGCTTAAAAGATTAGTATGATCAAAGACTTTCCCAAAGACAAAGAATTTTGTCTGAATTGAGTATGATAGGAAAGACTGACTAAAACAAGAGCAGTTAGTGGATAAGATTCATGATTTTTTTAGCTAATGATTCATCTCTAGAAATAATAAAGGCACTATTAAAGGAATCAAGGTCAAAGGATAGGAGGAAAGAGAAAACTGGTTCCTACTGCCATCTGAAGTAATCTCCATTTTCATCTTTTTGATAGGCTCTCTTTTTCAATATCATGCTTTTTTCATTTGTTAAATAAATACTTATGACAGATATCTAATGCACTTTTACAAAAAGTAACTCTTCCCATCTCCCTTGTGCAGACATCTCAGCACATCGCTGCCTGTCTTCCTCCAACATAGAAGGATGAGCTATGATACAATTGATATATCAGTTGAAGTAAATGAAAGTCTTTGTGCTCAATACCTTTTCACTTTTTTCACCCTGTTTTTCTGTGACTAAATGAAAGACATTAGGCTGGAGAAAGGTGTAGTTTAAAAATAATCCCTGTGGCATGAAGCCCTGAGTTCAAACCCTAGTCTCATAAAAAAAAAAAAAAGTATAAAAAAATTCCGTGGTGAAAAAAAGAAATCAAAGAAATCTTTAAAACACAACGGTGCAGAGATTACCAGAATGCATACTGGAGTCAGAAACATGAGTGATAAATCCTTGCTCTGTTGGGGGAAGGGGAACTGTACTAGTGAAAATCGGAGGCCTGAAGTCAGTTTGCCTGCATTTGAATCCAGTGTAGCCCTTCTGTAACTCTGGGCATGTGACTTAACCTTTCCGAGTCTCCCTTTCCTTGTCTATATGATGTAGATGATGACACTACCTATCTCCTAAGGTTGTTGTGAGGATTAAAGGAGATAACACATGAACAACACCTGAAACATTAAGCACTCAATACATTGTGCCTATTATCCTCAGCTAAGGACTACAGAATTATCATAAGAAAATATTAAAGACTGGTGTTGCTCACAGTATTTTAAGAACTATGCTTTCTATTGTGGATTAGGACTCTAAAAAATACAGCAAGCTTTAAGTTCTGGACAACTGTGACAGAGGAAAATGTGTTTTTTCTAGATGGCAGCTAAAGACATGGGAGTGGTCACTTAGCTAGTAGTTAAGGTCAGCACATACTGGATGTGGTTCCCTAGTAGGCCACATCTTGCTGAGAGACCTTGGGCAGGTTACCTGACCTTGGGGATAATAAAGGCACCTGTTCTCTAGTGGTTTGTTAGCACAAAGCCTTGTACACATTTGCCATTCAGTAATGTCAGGTGTTTAGATCACTAATCTAATGGATGGTATGTATTCATGAGGAGTGAGAAAATATTTTCACTGAATACTTTTTAATCTGAGTAAGACATGTTATTTAGGAGTGTTGGCTATGCCTCAAGAACATCTCTGACTGCTCTAATCTCAACAACCACTTTATAACCCCACTTTAGAGATAAGGAAACCTAGCTCCAGAGAGGTAAGGGGCACCCAGCTAGAAAATCTTCCTCTCACCACATGAAGGAACTGGGGGCAGGGAGGGTGGAAATGGAATGAGGATGAGGTAGAGATTTCTTTTCTTATTTATTTTTTCTGCTCAGAACTTGAGGGGTCTTTCAACTAGAGGACTCATTTTTTAAAACCAGAACAAATAAAAAAAATCAATTAATTGGTGTGGCTTATTTTAAAAAGCATGATGACAATTCTGATTAGGCTTATATGTACATTGGTTAGATCACCTCCGTCCTCTTTCCCCTTCAACCCCTCCCTGCTCCACTTAAAGCAATTGCAAGAGGTTTCTTAGTTCTATTGATTGTAAGTATATGAAGTCCATCAACCATATACCCTTATCTTAATCTTTCACTCCCCTCCCCCTCTCACTAATACCCCCCCACACACACTGTACCTATTTTACAATCCTGCCTTTCATTATTAATATTTAAGTTGATGTTCAAAGGGGTTTCTCTATGTATCCCTGCTGTGGGTATACTTTATTTGGGTTCATTCAACTCCTTCCATTACTCTCCCTTACTCCTTTACTTCCCACCCCTCCTTTTACAACAGCTTTCAATACACATCCTTTTATCCTCTACCTTCACAGATGTTATGTTTTATGATATTATACATATATATTTTTTTTTCAGTACTGGGGCTTGAACTCAGGGCCGACACCTTAAGCCACACCACCAGCCCTATTTTTGTGAAGGGTTTTTTGAGATACAGTCTCACAAACTATTTGCCCGGGCTGGCTTCCAACTGTGATCCTCCTGAGTAGGTAGGATTATAGGCGTGAGCCATAAGCACACTGCTTTTCTTTCTTTTTTTTTGACACTGGGAGTTGAACTTAGGACCTCATGTTTGCTAGGCAGGAGCTCTATCACTTGATCCATGCTCCCAGCCCTTTTTCCTTATTATCTTTGGAATAAGTCACATGTTTATGCTCTAGTGGGTGGGCCTGGACTGAGAGCCTCCAATTTACACTTTCCATGTAGATGAGATGACAGGCATGCACCACCACCCCCTGCTAATGGTTAGGATGGGAGTCTTACAAACTTTTCCCTGGGCTGGCATTGGACTATGATCCTTCTAATTTCCACCCTTCTGAATAGCTGGGATTATAGATGTGAGCCACCATGCCTGGCTATATAGTTTATTTTCTAACAGTAAAATATCCTGTGGCTTCCAGACTTCTCTGACATGAATTGGGAAACATGGGACTATTTGAGTCTTTAAGATATACTACAAGTATTGAGGAGTACAGCTCCTGCTTAAGAATCCTGGTGTTCTCCAGTCTAACCCACAGGCCATTGCAAAGGCTTTCCCTGGCAGCCTCAGGGTGACAGCTGCCCTCACACAGCAGACTTTGGCACAGCCAGGCACTGCAGTCTCTGAGGGGGCTGCAGTCAAGGACTTAGCTTCTGGCTATCATGCTCTTCATGTGCCCCTTCATCCCCGAGTGTCTCCATCTGAGGCCTCCGGCAGAGGTCTTCTTCAGGTGCCTCTAATGAGGCCTCTTTATGGGGAAGCAGGGGAAACTCTGAGGATATTTCTCCCCACTTAACTCAATGCCCAGGACTTCCCACTCCTAGCCCACCCTTCTCTCTCTCTCTCTACAAATCTCAGGGTCCACAATGCTCCCTCCAGTTAAACAACCCTACATCAGTGCTGCTCCCCTTTGCTCTCAACGGTACACTGTTCCATGGGGGAAAATGGGCAGGGAAAGTTAGTCCTTTCTTTGGTTCTGGCTTCTTATTTATACTATTGCTTAATGTGATTAAAGGTTTAACTCTTTCACTGTTGTCTTGTTGCTTTCCCCAGATGCTCCCATACCTAACAGTTCAACTCTCTTTCCAGCTCAGCTGGGCTCCTGACAATGACTCAATCAGAAATGCAGTATCCAAAACCAAGTTGCTTCTTCTTCCTAGATCTTCAAATCAAACAGAAGTACTGTGTTCCACCAGCCCTGCAATCAGCAAACCTGACACATGGGACTTACGCTGGCATTTGCCTCCATTGGTGGGATCACCATAGAAGCCAGATATGCAGGTCTCGCAGTGCTTGCCCGTGGTCAGGTTTTCACACTTCTCACAGATACTCTGGTTGATGCATTTGCTGTGGCCATTACACTGGCAAGCTGAAAAGGAAAAGAATTTCAAGGAGACTCTCCCACGGCAGAACTGGGCAGAGTAAGTTTAACAAGATCTATCTGTATCTGTCTCTAAGTTTGCTATTGCCTCTAAATATAAAATCATCAAAATTAGCTGGGCATGTCTCAAAATTCCCATCAACTTGGGAGACTAAGGCAGGAAGACACCTCAAACCCAGAGTTTGAGGCCAACTGGGCAACATTTGAGATCCTGTGTCCAAAACCAAAAATCCTCAAAACTGGGTCACTAGGCTGGGCACAGTGGCTCAAGCCTGTAATCCTACCTACTTGGGAGGCAGAGACTGGGAGGATTACAATTTGAGGTAGGGAAGGGAGGGTGGGGAGGAAGTTCACAAGGTCTGGATTCAACCAATAAAGCTGGGTGTGGTGGTACATGCACCTGTCATCCTAGCTATAAAGGAAACATAAATAGGAGGATCACAGTCCAGGCCAGTCTGAGCATAAATGTGAGACCCTATCTCAAAAACAACCAAAGCAAAAAGGGCTGTGGCTCAAGTGTTAGAGCACCTGCCTAGCAAGAGCAAGGCCCTGAGTTTAAACCCAGTAACAAATATATTAAAAAAAAAAAAAAAACCCAATTCACTAAAAACTAGGTTGAGAAGATCAAAATATCAAAAACAAATTTGTCCAGAAAAATCAGAAATATAATCACAGCAAAGTGAAAGTCCACAGCAATATAAAAATATTTTTGTGTCATTCATTATAAAAACTAATGCCCATGATGGCATTTTGAAAAATAAAGGAACAGAAGAAAAATCATACACAATCTCACCAACCAGAGAACACTGTTCACATGTGGTATCTCTTTCCTTTCAGCACTTTTGTATATAGTTTTACAGAGTAATATTCAATTTTGATTTTTTAACTCGGACCAAAATTTTTTACATTATTTCATCTATCATAAATAAAACTTTAAAAAAGCAAAATAATTTCTATGAATCATGTTATTTAATCATTCTTTATATTTCAATGTTTAATTTGCATTACATTTTCCATTATTAGAAAAATAACCATCTTTATAGATAAACAGCTCCAGAGCTAAGGCTCCTGGCGAATACAGTAATTCACAACTAGAAAGTCATAAGAAGCCTGTACTTCTCAAGACTGCTCAGGACAGCTGTGCTGGCTGTGTACTGCAGAAGTCATGGATGGGGCATTTACATAGTGTACATACACTACTAAGCAGAATCTCTGATTCTGCAGATCTGGCTTGGTGACATGAAGCAGTTTTCACCATCCTGGCACATTTCCATAGGTTTGCAAGTGTTCTGTTCACTTACCTGTCAGCTGCCCCATCCCTGTAGATATTTTTATTTGTTTGTTTGTTTTGTGGTGATGCTAGGGTTTGAACTTGGGCCTTATGCTTGCTAGCTAGGCGTTCTACCACTTGAGCTGTGGCCCCCCCGCCCTGAGTTATTTTATATATAGAATAGATTGCAACTCTAAGACTTAAAATAACTACATCGGTTATGACTAAGTGTACTTAAGATGTGTAGGATATGCTTTTTATTTTATTTTATCCAAAGGGTAAAACACAACACATATACAAAATGAAATAACTAAAATCATTTACCAAAAACATCCCTATTCTGGTTCAAGATAGAAACATTGAGGACATGGTTCTCTCTCTAGTTCTCTTCAAAATCTCACTGATATTGCAGGAAAAAATGTAAAACCAATAAATCAATAGGCACGAGATAAGAAGGAAAAGTACTACCAGAGGTAGTGAGAGGCAGTCCTAACGTATCAGGGATTTCTAAAATTATAAAGCAGATGGGGTTAATTCAACAGAAAAGGAGGAACCTCTAAAATGACTAGATACACATTGCTAATCAACATCTGAAAAATCCAGAGAAGCTGGGAGCCAGAGCAGGCATCAAGAGAGTGATGGACAGCAGGAAGTAGCACATGGCCTGCTCTGTGCCTGCTCCCCAGTAGGCTGAGGCATCTATCCAAGGGTTGCAGCAAGAAAGAACAGTTCTAGCTGGGGTAGAGCTGGGAAACAGGGAAGGTTAGGTGAGGGTCAGAAAGAAAACTCAGGACAATGAACCAGTCATCTTTAGGTTGCCATAACAGCCAAGGGGGAAAGGCTCTTGGCACAGTTATGAGGGGGCCAAATGCATATAGACACCTGAGTTCACTGCTCCAATGAGGAGCAATGACATTCAACAACACTTAGTGCAGACCAGAGCTGCAGTCTTCCTTAGGACCTCATACCACACCTTTACAACAGCTCACTTTACAGTCAAATGCTGTCCAGTGTAGATAAATCTATTTGTTATAAATGCAAATCAATTTTGAGGATTCACAAATGTAAGAAAATGCTCAACCTACATGCACCACCAGGACAAAGTAAAACAACTAACCCTGAAGAAAGGGTTAATGTAAGAAATAAAAGAGGATGACAAATGCTAATTTTAGTATATTCAAAGAGGTTTGAACAATTGCATCCACAAAAAAGGAAAGCAAGTTCTGTAAAACCCTTACCACATTTAGAGCCCTTGCAAAACATAAAAGGAGTACTAGGCACAAAATCAGCTATCTATAAGGAAATACTATTAACTATATGCCAACAAGTTTGAAAACTTCGATTAAGTAGGTGAATTTCTAGAAAAACACTGATTATCAAAACCAATTCAAGCAGAAACTGAAAATCTGAATAGACTTATAACAAGAGATCCAATTCGTGATTTAAAACCTTCACACCAAGAAAGGCTCAGTCCTAGATAGCCTCAATAGTAAATTCTATCAAAATTTAACTAACTTTTCTAGTAAACAGAAGAAGAGGCTATATATCCCAATTCAACTTGATGAGGCCTGTACTACTCTGATACCATAGCCTGACAGTCATCACAAGAAAACAGCAAAGCTGTATCTGTCATAAATATAGACATAAAACCCCAACTAACAAATCAAATCCAGCACACATTAAAACACATTATTGTCATAACCAAATTGACTTTATCCCAGGAATGCAATCCTGGTTTAACAATCACTTAGTGTAATACACAGTATTAACAGGGATGGGGTGGGGGGGTAAAAGATGGGGGTGGGGGAAGGGGGGAGAAATGACCCAAACATTGTATACACATATGAATAAAATAAAAATTTAAAAAATTAATTATATATATATATTCACATATACATATATATATATATATATACATATATATAAATCAGCCAGGTACCAGTGGCTCATGCCTGTAATCCTAGCTACTCCAAGGTAGAGATAAGGAGGATTGCAGTTCGAGCCCAGCCCAGGCAAACAGATCACAAGACCCTATCTCAAAAATGCCCAACACAGCCAGGTGCCAGTGACTCATGCCTGTAATCCTAGCTACTCAGGAGGCAGAAATCAGGAGGATCGCAATTCGAAGCCAGCCCAGGAAAACAGTTCACGAGACCCTATCTCAAAAAAACTTACCACAAAACAGGGTTGGTGGAGTGGCTCAAGTGGTAGAGCGCCTGCCTACCAAGTCTGAGGCCCTGAGTTCAAATCTCAAGTACTGCATATATATATAGATATATAAAAACATAACTGGAGGTATCTATATCAAATTGTTATAAAGTGCTTATGAATAACTGGATATATAATAAGAGGAATTTCAGTTTTTATTTTATATATATCTGTAATATTTTTCTAAAGAATATATATTAGTTATACTAAAAATTAGTAAAATAACTGACTTGAAGTTCTCAATATTTTTATTAATTGACATTAAAAATATTTTCACATGAAACTATTTCTCTTAAAATGATCTGTTACTTACTTTTTTCTTAAGGGAAATTCTTATAAAGCAATGTCATTTTAGGTTTTGTTCTTCATAAACAGGTAGTTGAAGACATGAACCTGAACACATAGGCATCTTACCTGGACAGTGAATGAAAGACCAGTTGTATCTGCTGTCCTCCAGACACATGCTGGAATTCAGAAGAGGCTGTGGATAGGCATTTCCGGTAGAGGCCTGGGAAGGTATCTTCACTGGTCCTTTATAGGAACCCTCAATGCATTTCCCCTTCCCAGTATTGCTAGGATCAGTACACCAGCCACAGCCCGGCTGCTCCAAGCAATGACTGCAGGTACAGTAACCTGAACAATTTTCAGCTAAAAAAACACAAGTTGCAATTCACTATCATAGTTAAATTTGAATTCACTGTGCTTAAAGTGCCTTTGCTGTAACAGACTATTTAAGTACTGTGAATCAAAATTACTATTATATAGTGACCATTTAAATGAGATAAATAATTTACGTATCCAACACATAATGGAGACTCCTACCCCCTACCCTCGATCCCAGGATATTGGAGGCAGAGGGGACCTTGGAGATTCTCTCCTGGAGAACATTTACTTTATAAATTGGGAGACAAAGATGTGGAGACGCTACACGGATGATTGAACGATATGACCCTGATGTTAGAAAGCTATTTCTGTACTCTGTGGTCTACAAAGATTTATTTATTTACATGCATCATTGTGTCTGATTTCATGTGCAGGTTCTTATCAGGCAGGACTAGCTTAATACAGCCTCTGGACAGACTTGAGCAGTTCAAAGGCTGAGAGTACTGCCTCAAGGCAAGCAGTGTCACCCCCATGTAGGGCACTCATGAGTGCCTGACCTTCTTTTTCACTTACGGGGGCAGCTGCTCATCGTATACCACTCCATACACTGGCCGAAAGGGAAGGAGGCCACGTAGGCATTGGAGTCCACACACTGCTTCATGTTGCTGCACCACATGCACTCGGAGCTGCTGCTGGTGCACTCCCCACATGCCGTCCGCAGGGCACATGGCATCCGGCACTGCTTTGCACTGTGGTTCGCTGGGAATTAAATTCGAGGGGCACTTAGAGCACCACTCTGTCAGCTAAGGTCAAAGACTTTCAAATGTGGGTTGTGACCCATTAGTGTATCATGAAATAAATTCAGGCACTACATTACATGGAGGAGAAAGCAGTAAATTTTGGAGTCATCATATACTGTTTAAGTACATTTATACACTTGGAAAAAATGGACTTTCTTTTCAGAAAGTATGGAGGACAAAGATGGGGTAAATAAAGAATCTTTTCAAAAGTGAAAGGCCTTAAACCCCTTAGAATATAGGGGACCCAGGATGAATTTTATGGATTTGTATGACCCACCTGAATTCATAAAATCCTACATTTATAATTTTTGGGGGAACAAGGTATCACAGCATTCATTAAAGTCACCAAACATTTAGCATTGAAAAAGGCTGAAAAGATTCCCTGTGGATGTTTAGAAATCCTGTTTTAACGGTTTCATACAATGCTATGAATTCATTCCTACACTTCTTTATGCCTTAGACAAATTACAGTATCTTCCTGAAACTGCACAAGGTGGAATTGAAGTCCAGTCTCTCAAAATAAATCACAATTCCACCAACTGTCTGTAAGTTCACGTGTATGTGCTAAAGAGCCTGCCCCAGGGACTGCTTTCATGGAGCCTAAACTTAGCTCCCAGAGAGATGCAAACCTGAGAAGGTATTCAATGTATCTGATCGGTCAGTATCCTGCCTTAGCTTGGGCACAGCTCTGGCTGAATGCTGGCTTCTGTCATAGAACTGCTCTCACCATTTTCCCCCTGCTTACTGAGTAATGTCCCTGCAGTGGTTTGCTGCTTTTCTAATCTTTTGTTTTTATTTTGCTTTTTGTTCTTTCTTCCATAGGATTTCTTTGAGAGCACCAAGAAATTTGCCTTTCAGATCAATTCTCAACATTTTTTCTAGTCAACAAACCATTCAATCTCCATGTTAATTAGAATATTAGGTTCCTTGAGTCATGTTACTTTTGATTTTATGGCTCAAACTAGTCAAAGCCACAGGTTATTTCCTTCTGCATTTAAATTTTTGGACTATGTGTGAAATATGCCTAAGTCAATACTCCATCTATTTTCACGACTATTTCATGCATCTCAATGGTTAAATATGCTTCCTACGCTTTTTAGCTCAATAAACTTCCTGGACATCTTATTCCCCCATGTCCTTACCAGGTCTTTCACACACACTGCCATTGAGTGGGTTGATGCAGGTTGCAGCCTTCAATCCCCGCGTACTGGGCTCTGACAAAATTCCACAGAAGCCAGCATCGCTGGGCTCAGATGGCATCCACTGTAGCAAACTATTTGTAAATGGAGACATATCTTCCCAGCACCAGTAGGACACATTGATCTTCCGAAGGCCAACCCATGGGGTTAAGGTGAGCTTGGACTACAGGCAGAAGAGATACAACTATGAATACAACAAATGTCTTGACCACAGTAGGCTTCTAGATAAAACCACTAAGTTAGGTATACTCCACACATACAAGAAAACCTCCTTATCCCTTAATCTCTGCCATGACAATTTAGATCAGCACCTCAATATAGCCATTTTGCAAAGGACAAAAATATATCTCAAAGAAAATAGTGTATCAAAATTTTCACAGAGATCAGCAACAAAGCAATAATCAAGAACAAAAATGTTTACATCCTATGACGGATGCTATAAAGAGATGGTCACCCCCAAACTTGGTTGACATGACCAGACATAAAATCATTTTACCAATGTTTATACAATATTGGTTATATGCCTATCCTCAGATCATGACCTAAGCCTCTTTGGGACCCTGGCCAATTCAGATGCTTCAAGATTCGTTCCTTTAGCCATGGGGTACTACATGGTATTTACATTCTCTTTCCCAGCTTTTCTGAGGTATAATTAACAAAAACTGTGTTAATGTGGGTATACATGATGTTTTGACATACATATACATTGTGATGTAACTGCCATAATGAAGCTAATTAACATCCATTACTTCACATGGTGTGTGTGTGCATGTGTGTGTATGAATGGTGAGAACATTTAAAATCTAGGTCCTTAGCTAATTTCAAGTACATGATACATTATTGATTATGCTTACTATACTGTATATTAGATCTCCAGAAATCACTCATCTTGTATAACTGAACTTTTACACACTTTGACCAACATCTCCCCATTCCCTACCTTAACTTCCCACCTCCCTGCCAACCACTATTCCACTCTTTGCTTCTATGAGTTAGTTTTTTAGATTCTACATATAAGTGATGTCATGTAATATTTGTTTTTCTGTGTCTAGCTTACTTCCTTAGCATAATGTCCTCCAGGTTTATCTGTGTTGTTGCAAATGACAGGATTTCCTTTTTTTTTAAAGGCTGAATAATATTCCATTATGTGCATCACATTTTCTTTATCTATTCATCCACTAGATGTTTATACAGAATAATAGGCAATGAACCCATGCAATTGCCTCCTATTCCCCCAAAATTTCTTTTTCATTGCAATTTTTAAAGTCTTTGCAAATTAAAGTATAAAGTGTAGACCAGAAAGGAAATATATTCCTAATTTTGGCAGTTCAAAAACAAAAATGAAGAATGTTTTCCCATTTTTGAAAGAAAAATATATACACACCCATTAAAAGACCTAAAAGAAAGAAAAAAAAAAGACCTAAAAGAAATAAATATATCCCTAAGTAATTTTCATTTTATTAATAAATGATATTTATTTTAACTTTATCATTAGCATTTTAAAAGCTTCCTTTGAAATATGTATTAGTTTTAAAAGATTATTAAAATTAATACTTTTTAAAACCTTCAGTAATTTTCTTTTTGCCTTCATGATGAAATCCAAAGCCATTAATACTATGGACAAGGCCTCTCTGGATTTGACATTGGTCCCTTCCTAAAGCCCATTATAGGGATTTCCTCCCATCCAGCCTGCAGCTTACTATGAGCTGGAATCTCTAGATCTTGCTTATCAGGCTACCAATGCACAGGGTGCCTGCCCCTCTTCACCTTTCCAATTCACTCTTTTCCATCTTTAGTGTTACCTCATTCCAGCTCTACCAGCCAGCCTCTGCCCTGAAGGTCAGGCTGGTGCCCTTTCTTGTTTCTCCACATACATATGGGCTCTATATACTGGGCCATATTTATAAAGTTAAAGCTGTAGAAACACATAATACTTAGTTGTTTCATCTGTCAGGTTTTTTTGTTTTATTTTGTTTTGTTGTGGTTCTCACTATATAGCTCAGGCTAGCCTTGAACTCTTGACGCTCCTGCCTCAGACTCCTGAGTGCTGGGATTACAGGAGTGTGCCAATACACCCAGCTCATCAGTCAGTCTTACCACAAGATTATAAATGTCTGTCTTATAAAAGGGCCATAGCAGACTAGACTACCCAAAGCCTGTTAGAGCTAGAAAGTCTGAGGAAGAGAAAAAAGGACCAGAGGTACACCCATGGTCACCTGAGAGGGATGAATTTTTCTACCAATGCAGTCTTTCAGAGAGTCACTGGTAGAGCCCCCAACACAAAGGGCAAAGTTGTGAACTATCGATTTTCTGAGGATGTGAATGATCATAGGTAAGGACAGCTGATGGCAAAGGACAGAATGTTGGAAAGGCCCACATGTGGGGATAAGAAGAAGAGAAATAAGTATTATAGACAATTTCTGAAAGAGCCTGAAATTTGAAAAAGCCACCAAAATATCGTAAAATATCAAATGTGACCCTGGTACTTCCTGAGATAAACACAACTAAGAATGTGCTACCAATGTCTGAGTGTCTACAACAAATCAAGTTATACCAGGAAAAAAAGACTACTTGGAGAAAAGTAAAACATAGAGTACCTTCTGTCCATCTCAGAACAGCCCTTTAAATGGCACACAGAGACTATATGTAACTAGGATTCAGGCCACACTTCCACACAATCAATCACATGAAGAGGGTGCCACACAAGGAAGTACTGCCCTCTACTCTTCCTGGTTTAACCAGAACGACATTTCTCCTGAACACTTCTATACCACATAAAAGCTTTGTTTCATGAATATCTTCTAAATTGAGGAGAGCACCAGACTCTGGACCAAAATGACCAAGTGTGCTTATAGAGCATCAACTAAAAGTCACCAAAGAACATGACTGGAGAGGAAGAGACCCTGAGCCTTCTGGGTTCAGAAACTCTTGACAAGAAGCCCTCTTCTTTTGAGCTGGCCAGGTATAAGAAAGACTGCAACAGACATACATTTCTTAATGATGATCATATTAGGTACTGTAATAATACCTTAGATCTAAGTAAGGAACTTGGGCAGCTTAATACAACTAATCTTAATCTAGCTAATTAGCTGTGACCTCTCCCTTCCCCTTCAGCAAAATCTAGAAGTAAAACAAGTATGAAATCATCTATGGATGTCACCATATGTGCATTTGTGTACATACATGTTACTATTCATTGCACACATAATTATTCATATATCTTATAATTAATTTAATAGACAGGACTAATAAAAATGTATATAAAATTTTAAGACAAGACAGGCATTAAAAGAAGAGACTCTGACAGTGTAGCTCCACAGTCTATTATGCTGTGTTCACTAGCACTCCTCCTCTTGCCAAGGACATCACATGCAACCACAGCTGCGAGCTCCAGTCATGCCTTCAGTAGAAAGGTGGGAACTAACAACTCAAGTTCTGATGATGTTAACTCACCATGCTCTGTGATGACTGCATTATTCGCAGCTGCTTAAGGACAAATTCCACCTTCTTCTGGGTTGTGAGGGAAGCCAAAAAGGCATTATGGTTCCTACAGGACAATTTAGCATTGTCGTAATTCTCTTTGGCAGTAGTAATTTTCAAACATGAGTTTCCAACCAAATGCCAGCTAGTGCCACAGATATTTTCTTTTAGGAAAAAAGGAAAAAGTGTTTTAGAAATTATACAAAACTACTATATTACCAGTTCAAATTACTGAACACCTTCATGATTCTTGTGATGTGAATCATGATGCTTCATTCGGATGTAAAGAGGGCATCAGACACATTACTACCAAATACAGACTTCAAGGATTAAAAAAAGGTTCATCAGTCATATTTTCTGGATCTCAAGAAGCTAGGTCAACTCTCCTAAATCTTCAAGGAAAATGATTTTGTGCCAATGTTAGATTGGTACACCAATTTTTGAAAAACAATTAGAAAGACTAAAATTCTGAGTGGAAAGCAGACAAATGAATATGCATATAGAAAATATGAGGTAGAAAATTAAAAACATGAAAGTGAGTTGGGGAATGAATGGGTGGAAGATATAAGCAAGTGCACAAAGCATCCTAAAAATGAAGTGGGAATGATCCTTTTCGGGAAAAACCCGAAGTGATCCACTTTATGCAGCAAACAAGGCAAGCCTGGAGTCTGCTCCTATGATTGCAGCGAACTTACACAAGGTACTGCACTGAAGCTATGACTGCTCCCTGGACATAAGATGACAATGAGCCAGCCAAGTGACTCCACCACAACACAACTAGGATACCCTGGGGACACCATCAACAATGTTCATTACCCAAAACAGCCACTGAGCTGAATGGAAGGTACTATGGGAAAGACACCATTTAAGAACAGATAGACTTGCTTCTCAGTGTTAACAGTGGTGTCTAGTTAAAATGCAGACTCTAGAGCACAACTCTAGGCCTGTATTTGAATATGCTTTTTTTTTTTTTTGGTAGGACTGGGGTTTGAACTCATAGCTTTGCACTTGCAAAGTAGGCACTCTACCACTTGAGTAACACCTCCAGTCTGTTTTTTTTTTTCTGATTATTTTTGGTGATGGGATCTTGTGAACTATTTGTCCGGGCTGGCCTTGAACCTTAATCCTCCTGATCTCAGCCTCCCAAGTAGCCAGGATTACAGGCTTGAGCCACCAGTGCCCAGCTTGAATATGCCTTTTAGCAAGATCCCCAAGTGTTCTGCTATACATTAAAGTTTGAGACATAGAACAAGAGATAAAGAAGAAAAAGCTCATTCTGCAAACTGAATCAAGTTCTTCCAAAGGATAGTCAAAAGGAACCTAGTTCAGCCAAACTGCCCTGCTCTAGACTTAGATATTGCGGAGAGGCATAGAAGTTCCCCATCCTGGACACACTGGTTGAGAAAATATAGCATAGGGGTTCAGTCATGGCTGGCTGGCTGGTCTTAGGCCCTAGGGCTGGAGATCCACCCCAGGAGGTGCTGTTAACAAGGTATCTCTCTTCTTCTAGAAGAGGCTCCTCAAGTGGTACCAACAACCAAACCCCAGTGGTCAATGACAAGTATTCTTCATAAAAGTACCTAACACACTAGCTGCTGAGACTGTGGAGTTCACAACAAGGATAGGACAATGGAGCAGGCTCAGTGTCATGGACCCAAGATGTCATTCAATTCTCCAGAGTAGCCGATGATGTTTCACTTTATTTCAAAAGATAGGAGTAAATACTTAACAACTGTATTTTCATTAAAAAAAAAATCTTGAGTGGTAAGGGGATAAACAGATGGAATATCTTCTCCCCTCTGCTACATTCAACCTAGACTGCACAATATTGTGGTGGGGAGTGGCTGAAGTTTGGGACCACTGCATGAGATATCCCTGCATGCCTACCAGGCAAGGCGATGCATTCCTGATTCCTGGGCTCCCATTGGCAGTTCTGGTCCAGGGCACAGCTCCTACAGCTGGTCTTCTTGTTACAGTAGTACATGGGGTTATCTTTGGGGCAAATCTCATACCTGGAAATGGAGATCTAGAACACAGTGGACAAAATGCTTTATCTTATATTCACAGACAAGACTTATGGAAAGGACCAATAGGATACTAAAGACAACAAAATCTAACAGAGGAAGCAAACTGCAAATAAATAAAAAAATAAATAAAATGCAGATGAAGCAGCACTGCAGTGAAAACACTGCAATGCTCTGCTCAAGAACATGCCTTTAGTTGGCAAGGAAACAGACCATTCCTTTAAACATCATGCTCATCTATAAAATGGGGATGTTGAATCTGCTCCTTTTCAAATGCCCCACCATGGTCTAAAAGTTGTATATTTTATAAACCACATTAAACTAACAAAAATGTCTTATAAATTATTTTTTAAAAACTATAAAGTCTGGGCCATCTTATCTTCTTTGGTCTTAAACCTAAATTTTTAAAATCATGTATGGTGAGCACTGAAATTATGCTGCACCAAGATGTAACATAAGACAAAGAGAAAATTGGGCATGCTGGAGCATGTCTGTAATAATCTCAGCTACTTGGAAGGGGGAGGCAGAAGATCACGAGTTCAAGGACTATTAGGCAACACAGTGAGACTTGTCACACACAAAAAAACAGATACAAGGAGATTTTGCAAAGTTTATCATTTCCATAATTCAAAATGGCAACTAAATACCTACCTCAAACCTTAACTTTCTCCCATGACCTTACACAAGTGGGGTGAGCTCACCATTACAAGACTCAGACCAAGGATCCAGTACTTAGCTACAGTCATGCCCAGGAGCAATGGTCCTTAGACAACAGTCTTACCTTCTAAAACAGGACACATAAATCCCTGTGGCTAACAAAACTATTGAAATCAGGATGTATACAGCAACCCTTTCAAAAAGAAACCTAAGCAATAATAATAAAATCTAAGTCTATACCACATTTTAAAAATAATTCTGAGCCATTACTTATGTAAACACACAACCTACACATAAGCCCAATTAGGATTTTCTAGTCTCTGAAATCCTTGAGAAACAGTCCCTAACCTGGCCTTCTGGGCAGCTGTGGTTCCTAGGGACACAATGGTCATTGCACCAGTGGCAGTCATTGGTGTTGGCCGTGCAGCTGTAACAATCCGTGTGCTGGTCACATCTGTCATGGTCAAGAGCTATGAAGAGAAGACAAGAATCAACTGTGACAGGTTCAGTTAAGCACAATTTGATATAGGTTTAAAAAAAAAAATCTCCTAACAATGGTTTGGAAGTAAAATGAAGAATGAAGAAGGAAAATAAATTGGCATGTTCAGGTTAAAAAAGGGCTTAGAAATAAATAAACAATCTGAAGAAACACTATTTTGCGCTTAAAATATATAGAAAGTGAAAATTCAAAAATAGGCTAATTTAAGAACAACTGTAAGATGTAATTGAAGTGAAGTTTGGGTCTCTGAATGCTTTTCTTTCTAATGTGGTGGGGGAGGAGCAACTTGGAAAAGAATAAACTGGAGTTGCCTAGGAGCCAAAAAAAGTAATGCAGGAAATCAACCCATTGCTCCTAGATACAAATACAAGGCTAATTTAGGCACAGGCATAGCCAGTACCACAGAATTCATTACTAGTGGGTCCAGTACCACAGGAAGCACCAGCCAAGCTGCATTTTACACACAAATGTGAATTCAAAAGTGTAAGTTTCAGAATTTCTAGGCTACTGTAGATTTGTTGGACTTCCTTTTGACCCCAGAAAAGAGAAACACAACCCTATTGCCATCTGTTAAACCATTTCATGGATATGGCACATGGTGCAACACACAAACAGGAAAAGGGAGGACCAGAGTCCACCCTCACAAGGGCCCACCCTCACAAAGACCCCAACAGTTGGCTCTTTAGGTTGTTCTTCCTGCCTGGATTATCATCTAAAAAATTAGGCCTGGCCTGGGGGTGTGGCTCAAGTGGTAAAGCACTTGCTTATCAGGCTCAAGGCCCTGAGTTCAAACTCCAGTACTGCCAAAAAATAAGAAGGATTAGGCCTACTGAGAAAGTAGAATGAAGCAGAGAGTCAGTATCTAAAATGAGATGACAGCAAATGGGTTCATACTAAACCACCTGCATAGTTCAATATTATTTCCAACATATTTGCACATTTAACTTTTAAAATTTGGTTAAAAAATAAATTTCACTGATTTCATCTTTTTCAGGAGATAGTTACTAATCCTATCAGGTTCTGATAATCTCTAGTCTTCATCAATGCACCTGGAAGTATTGCCTGACTGTTATGATGATTTATATTCCTGTACAGCTTAATTTGGAACACCCCAGGAAAGTAAAAGCTACTGCTATCTGCCATAACTCTGATGATAACAGCAATACCAATCCTACTAGTTAAGGAATTTAGTTAACATATTTCAAATTAATTGACGTGGATAAATATTTTGCATAGACATTCTTCGTACTTTTAAAGGACTTTCTCACACATGACTTCACACTGTGTTGTTCTTAATTCAGAGCAAAAAGGGCAAGAAGCTAAATAGGCAAGATGAAGGTTCGAGAAGCAGAGATCATTGCTCATCTTTGGCAACTGTCTATCTTGCCGTCACTGCTGTATCCAACTAGAAGAGCTAGAAAATACTTTTCAAGGACAGCAGTTCTATCCACCAGCAGAATTTATTACACAGGGCTTTTCTGGGTTGACCCTCCTAATCTCATCCTTTTTGTTTCCTTGCTTTTGGCAGTACTAGGGTTTGAACTCAGTGCTTACTAGGCTGCCACTCTACCATTTAAGCCATGCCCCCAACCCCTTCCAAATCTCATCCTTAACTTAGATTCCATGATCCAGTATAGTAGCTACTAGCCACATGTAGTTTTAAATAAATTAAACAAAATATAAAATCAGTTCCTAAATTACACTAGCCACATTTCAACTCTCCAATAGCCCCATGTGGCTAGTGGCTACCATACTAGAACAGTGCAAATATATATCCCATCATCAAATAAAAGTTCTATAGCCAGGCCTAGTGATACACACCTATAATCCCAACACTCAGGAGGCTGAGGCAGGAGAATCAAGAGTTTAAGGCCAGCTGGGGCTACACAGTCAGAACTTGTCTCAAAAAAAAAAAAAAAAAATCCACTGGATAGCACTGCCTCAGACCAACTACAGCCAGTTCTGAAACTAGACTACAAACCTTACATAATGTCAGCAAGGTTCTGTCTGTATCACTCACCAATAGCTCTGGGAGCACATGCCTGTTTTCAGCTATTGTAAAGATGTTTATAAACCAATTTTCAAACACCTCAAAAAGCTATGTACAAGTAATTAATAAATAATTATGGATAAAAATGTGAATACAAGAAGTTACAAATGTCAAGTTCTTTCATAGTGCAGATAAAATGAAATCTCTAATTAAATTCTAAGTAAAGAAAAAACATACTTCTTTTGGAAAAACATTCTGATTTTAACTTTTGTGCTTGCTCTTCAGTTGCCAACTCCCAGGAGATACAATGAGACGACCCTGTGTCCCACACACACCGGATACCAGGTCCTGCTGCTACACAAGCAGCTTCACTGAGGTGTGCTCCGCACTGCTCGGATGTGAAGACTAAGACATCACTGAGGAGGAGACTGTTGAAACCACCAAACACATACATGGTGCTAAGAGAAAAAAGGGAGAGAAGGAATGAAATTTAAACTGAAAACTTAAAGAATAAATACACGATATGCTTTTACAGTCAGTCTTCAGATAAATCTCATGCAGCAAAAGTCCTCTAAGAAATAAATCATTATTATTCTCTTCCCTCCCAAATTCCAGCTTTCATCCTGATCCGTGATCATCCAGAACAGTTCCAATAATCTACCTATAAAAGTGTGCATGGCAATGGAATTTTATGCAGCCATGAAGAAGAATGAAATGTTATCATTTGCTGGTAAATGGATGGAATTGGAGAACATCATTCTGAGTGAGGTTAGCCTGGCTCAAAAGACCAAAAATCATATGTTCTCCCTCATATGTGGACATTAGATCAAGGGCAAACACAACAAGGGGATTGGACTATGAGCACATGATAAAAGCGAGAGCACACAAGGGAAGGGTGAGGATAGGTAAGACACCTAAAAAACTAGCTAGCATTTGTTGCCCTTAATGCAGAGAAACTAAAGCAGATACCTTAAAGCAACTGAGGCCAATAGGAAAAGGGGACCAGGAACTAGAGAAAAGGTTAGATTAAAAAGAATTAACCTAGAAGGTAACACCCACGCACAGGAAATCAATGTGAGTCAATGCCCTGTATAGCTATCCTTATCTCAACCAGCAAAACCCCTTGTTCCTTCCTATTATTGCTTATACTCTCTCTACAACAAAATTAGAGATAAGGGCAAAATAGTTTCTGCTGGGTATTGAGGGGGGGAGCGGGAGGGGGTGGAGTGGGTGGTAAGGGAGGGGGTGGGGGCAGGGGGGAGAAATAAACCAAGCCTTGTATGCACATATGAATAATAAAAGAAAAATGAAAAAATAAATAAATAAATACACTCCAACTGAAAAAAAAACAAAAAAAAAACATAAAAGTGTGCATGGAAATTTTGTACACAATGAAAGTTGCACCTTAAATTAGTGAAGGAAAAGAGAAATTTCTCAGTAAGTGGTCCTGAGATAATTATATACATGGAAAAAGAATGAAACTAAATCAATTGTTTCACTCTATGTACCAAAATAAATTCAAAAATGGATCACAGAACCTTCTGGGAAAAAAAAAAGAAAGAAATTCTGCAAGTTCTAGGAAAAATGAGAAACCTCTCTATAACCTAATAGTAGAAAAAAAGTACATATGACTTAAAATTCAAAAGGCAGGAAAGAATTTAACAGACAGGGCTTCAGCCAGTCTGTAGTGGAAAATGCAAATGACATTAACCATATTTTAAAAAGACTCAACTTTACTCATAAGAGAAATACAAATTAAAACCACAGCTGTAACATTTCTCACCTCTCAGACTGTCAAAGAAAAAAATCACAAAAGTTGACAATATGGATTGGTGAGGCAGTGGGGCAAACATGCACCATCACATACTGCTGCAGCACATGTAAAACAGCAAAAGCCCAGTAGGTGAATTTGGTAATTTGTAACAAAACTACACATTTATCTTTTGAACTTGAAATAACACTTCTAGAAGTCACAAGGACACAACAGCAAGAATACAAAAGAAATACAAGCAAGACAATTTACAATATCATTAATGACAATAGCCAAGGACTGACTACTCAAAATGTCCATCGGTTGGGGATGTGCTGAATAAATAGGATACATCTGCAAAATGAAATATTAGGCATGTGTAAAAAAGAATGAGGAAGATTTCTGCATACTATGGTTATTGGGGGGAAGCTATTATAGAGTATGTGGCCATTTATTGAGGGAAGAAGAGAGTCAAACATATAAACACAATCCATTTTTCTTTACAAAAACGAAATCCACACAATTTCTCTAAAGAGAAATTCTTCAGAGAAATGTGTAAAGACCAAGCCAGTAACAATGAATATAACTAGGACTTAGATTATGGTATTTAAAAGCCACTTTCCCCACTCTCTCTCACATTCCCTGTCCAACTAGAACTTTTTTTGTTTTGTTTTGTGATACTGGGGCTTGAGCCACTCCACCAGCCTTTTTTGTGAAGGATTTTTTTGAGATGGTCTCTCAAACTATTTGCCTGGGCTGGCTTCAAACCACAGTCATCCAGATCTCTGCCTCCTGAGGAGCTAGGATTACAAGCATAAACCACCAGTGGCCCAGCACCCAACTAGAACATTTTAGGGAAAAATCTCATTTCGTGTTTGGGGTAAGAAATGTTCATAATGAATCTGTAAGACCTTGTCATACCAAAAAGAGTAGGGTAGTGTCAGGAAGATAAAATAGCTACCATAAGATGTTCACTGGCTGCAGAAATCTAGTAAGAACTACAATGGAGTAAGAAAAACAACAAATATTTTTAAATCCTTGAGTTCATAATGATATATGCCCCCAGTCCTAAAGAAGAAACATTTGTCACCTTTGGACAATGTTAAGAAATCATTTATTTTGAAAATCAGTAAATAAAGAACTGACCCTATGAAATGATCTTGTCAGAATCTTGAAGTGAATATAACCAAGCTAATCTGTGAGAAGTTCAGGAGAAAGACCAACATGTTATTTGAAAGCACAGAGATACTGTAATAAAAATCTGGACCATAGGCAGGCCATGGTGGTACATGCCTACAAGCCCAGTGCTTTGGAGATAAGGTGGGAGGATCATGAGTTGGAGACCAAGCCTGGGCTACATAGCAAAATCCTGTCTCAAAAAACAAAACAAAACAAAAAAAACAAAAAGATAAACTATATGGAACTCCCAAGAACAAACAATTCAACAACTAACAAATAAAAGAAAACATGATAATAAACTAAGACAATTTAACTAGTTGAAATTACATGGATCACATTTGGATCCTGATAAGAACAAGATAAAAATTTATTTAAAAAGTATGAAACAATTGGGAAATTTGAGTATCAAGGACGGTGAGTGATGTTAAAGAATTATTATTAATTTTAAAAGTATGATAAGTGTACAGTGGTTATAGGGTGTTTTGTTTTTTAAGACAGGGTCTAACTAGCCTCGAACTCATGATTTTCCTGCCTCAGTCTCCTAAGTGCTGGGATTACAGACATGTACCATCATGACCAAGCTGTGGTTGTGTTTTTATTTTTATTTATTCATTTATATATATTATATATAATATTATATATTATTTATTTACATTTTTTTTTCCAGTACTGGGCTTGAACTCAGGGCCTACACCTTGAGCCACTCCACCAGCCCTTTTTTGTAAAGGATTTTTTTGAGATAGGATCTCGTGAACTATTTGACCAGGCTTGCTTCAAACCAAAATTCTCCTGATCTCTGCCTCCTAAATAGCTAGGATTACAGGCATGAGCCACCAGTGCCCAACTATGGTTGTGTTTTTAAAAGAGAGTTTTTATCTTCAATAAAAGATATTCAATTTTCATTATTTGCAGATTCCTTATTTGTGAATTAACTTACTTGCTAAAATTTATTTCTATTTCCAAATCAGCACTTGTAGCAGTTTCACTGTCATCTGCATGGTGAGTTGTGAAAAATGTGAGTTGACAAAAATGCACATTTCCAGCTAAGGTCAAATAAGGCAATGCTCTGACTTCCCGTTTTAGCTCTTACACTATAAATAAGCATCCCTTTCAGGATTTACTTGGTAGCATGTTTTGCATTTTTGTGCTTTTATGTTGGTGATTTCAATCTTTAAAATGATCCCCAGGGGAGTACTGAAATGTTGTCTAATATTCCTAACATAAGCTGTGATATGCCTTACAGAGAAAATACTTAGATAAGCTTTGTTCAGGCATGAGTTTAAAGTACTGTTGCCCATGACTTTGAGCTCTTCCTCAAACAATAATTGAGCAAATCAACAATAGAGCTCTTCCTGTAAACGGCCTGAAGAGACCTGTGAAAATGGTTTGGTTTGCCATTCTCTTGACCCAGAAAACCTCATAAAATCATGAAATCAAGAGGTTTTAAATTTTCATTTTCACTTTAAAATTTTTCAGGAAATTTCCTAGGCCATTAACAGTATGCATATCCAAAATGCCACCAAGTATCTGAAAGATGTCACTTTAAAGAAGCAATGAGGGCTGGTGGAGTAGCTCAAGTGGTAGAGTACCTGCCTAGCAAGCAAATGGCCCTAAGTTCAAACTCCAGTACCACAAAAAAAAAAAAAAAAAAAAAAACCAAGAAGAATCAATCTGTACTATTCCAGCATTACAATGGTGGAGCTGGTATGTGTGCCCAGGACAAACAGTGGGGCTGGACACAAGGTTGGTGGCAGCCCAAAAAGACAGCTAAATTTTTGCTACATATGCTTGAACATGCAGAGTAATGCTAAATTTAAGAGTTTAGATGAAGATTCTCTGATCATTGAACATATTTAAGTGAACAGAGCACCCAAAATACACTACTGTATGTACAGAGCTAATAACCAGATTGACCCGGACATAAGCGTTCCCTCACAATTGAGATGAGCAAACGCTTCCTAAACCAGAAGAGGAAGTTACACAGAAGAAAAAGATATCACAGAAGAAACAAAAATTTATGGCACAGGAATAAATTCAGCAAATGCATATAAAGTGCAAATAAAAGTAAAGGGAAAAAAATCAACACATGTAAAATAGGGTTTTATATTGACTGCTTAACAAAAGTGTTGTTCTCAGATCTTACAGAAACCTAACTTGATATGTCCTCTAGGAGCAATGATTCAATATTCACTCAGTGTCTGCAGTGCCTTTATAGAACATAACTACTGTGAATAATTAAAATCAACTGTAATCAGAAATATCTTCTTATAAAATTCTATCATGTTGGAAAATTGCTTCAAAATAACCTGGAGTGGGTTAGGATGGTTATCAGCTGATGACTGCTAAAGTTGAGTAAGAAGGACATGGGACTTCATTATACTACTGTCTCTGTTTCTATATGCATTTCAAAGTTTCACAATAAAGTTTTTAAATTATTTTTGGGAAAAAAAGCATTTTTCTTACATCTCTTCTATTTCAAATGTTACATTTCTAGCACTAGCTAATATTATAAATGGGTTTATTCTTTCCTGTGCATTATCTCCTGAGTTTAACTTTGTTTTTAGTCTAAGAGTAAAAAGGAATCTTTACATAATCACATGTGGTATCTGTTTCTAAAAAGAACAAAGGCCAAATCATCCTGTCCATTTACCTATTCACTCAGAAATATCTATTTAGCATCTACTATACACCAAAAAATATCTCTGGCCTCTGGCCTTCAGCATGGAGAGTCCACCAAAAGCTCAGTTCTACCTCTCAGCTGCCTCAGTTAGATGAGCAAACTGTTAAGGGGAAAGTAGCTCTTTGAACTTTATTCATCTCTTATGTTTCCACCCAAGATTTCCTCATTATCTTGTTAGGTCCTTGCAATACACTTTTTAGTTGTCTTTCAGTGCAAGAAAGACTATCCTAAGGTTCAGGGTCAAGGTTTAAGTTTTTAAACCAAGCACAATTCTCCTTCAGAGAGATGGTGATCATAGCATGCCTTAGTAAGATTTCGCATCTCTGCTGGTCTGGGAGGCTATGTTTTACATAAGGCTTCAACAATGCTCAGAAGATAATAGAGAAAGCCCTAGCTATCTAGTCATATCTGGCTGAAGGGAGGCTTTGAAAATACAAAAAGGAAAAACCAAGTCAAACTTGTAACTTTCAGAACTTTGAATACATTCCCAAATCACAAACAGGACCGACCATCAGCAAACAGTGGGATCAGAACACAACCACTTGCTGAACACTAAGCTACAATAATCTAGGAGCAATCCACAGGAAGTTAGGCTTACAATTAAAAACAAGAAAAAACAAGTAGGCAGAGAAATCAGCAGTGGTACATTGTAGAGGAAACAGAATCTATAAAATTAGAGTAAGCAAGACCTTCCTTATATAAACAGCAATAACCCCCCAGTGGTAATGGTGCAGAAATCAGAATCCAGACTTGTTACAATATATTATTTTATTTATCTATTTATTCATTCACTTATTGATTGATTGATTGATTGATTGCAGCACTGGAGTTTGGACTCAGGCCGGCCACCTGTTGAGCAAGAGCTTTACACTTGAGCCAGGTCTATAGCCCTTTTTGCTTTATTTTTCAGACTACTATCCTCCTACTTCTACCTCCTGCATAGCTGAGATCACAGGCATATGCCACCACACCTGACCCTTGTAATGCATTATTTTAGATGTTTAGTTTCCAACAAAATATTGCAAAACATGCAGAGAAATGAAAAGTGTGACTCTCGGGGCTTTGCATTTGCAAAGCAAGTGCTCTACCACTTGAGCCATACCTCTAGCCCATTTTGTTCTGGTTATTTTGGAGATAGGGTCTCACAGTTGTTTGCCTGGGCTGGCCTTGAACTGTGATCCTCCCAATCTCAGCTCCTCAATTAACTAGGATTACAGCTGTGAGCCACCAGTGCCTGGCTGCTATTCCTGATTTTGATTCACAGTTAAACTACACTATATAGTAAACTGTCAACTTCTCTGAGTTTGCATAAAGCCTAAGAATGTTTTAATAAAAGATTCATTTGATAGTTATTACTTTATTAACAGATGCCATTTAGCAAATACCTATTACGTGCCACACCTTGCGCTAGGAGAACATCCATTTCCTGATCAGTGGTATCAGGAAAGGAGACCTGATACCACTGGCTATGTGAGGTCCAGGGGTCCCACTACTTCCCAGGTGAAAACTTCAAAAGCACTTGCTAGAAAACTCTAAGAATCTTTCTCAAAGAGAAGCATCAGATTACTATTTGAGATAACACTTCAAATTAATAAGGTAGTAGGAAAATCCATTTTCCATTTTTTTTTTTATTTTTATTTTTTTTGGTGGTACTGGTACTGGTGTTTGAACTTGGGACTTAAGTTTGCTAGACAGAGCTCTCCCACTAAAGCCATGCCTCCAGATCCCCCTGTACCTTCCTCCCCAACCCCAACCTACACCCCCAGGGTTATTTTTGAAATAGGTTCTTGCTTTTTGCCCAGGCTTACCTGGACCATGATCCTCTTGACCTCAGCCTCCCACATAGCTGAGATGCCAGGTGTCTAACACTGTGCCCAACTATTGGTTGAGATGGGGGGTCTTGTGAACTTTTTGTCAGAGCTGGCCTCAAATCTTGATCCTCCCAATCTCTGCCTCAAAAGTAGCTAGGATTAGGTTTGAGCCCCTGATGTCTGGCTTAGACTATTGCTTTCTTATTTTTCCTAATCTACATTAAATTACTTCATCATCACAACAGAAATTTTGAAAGCCAAAGGAATATGGACATTAAATAATGCAGGCATTATGACAAATAGCTTTGGGACTCATATGACTTAATTTTAAAGAGAAAAGTAGACAGCAGTAATTAATAGCAGAAACAACATAAGAAAATTAATGAGTGGGCTGTTTAACTTCTCAAAAATCTTTAAAGTTCACTGTAAGGAAAAAGTAGAAAGTTACTATGAATCTCCTTTATTGGACTGAGCACTTTATAAAGAGCTCTAATAGTATGAACCAGGCATTTTTGAGCATTGCAATGAAATGCAATGCAGTGTCAGGCTATCCAAGGACTATAGACTTACTTTATAGCTTCACAATTTCCCCATCTCTGTTCCCTACCTATCCCTCACCAGAAGTAGCCTCTCTTCCTTTTTCAAACCTCTCCTTACAACTTCTAGAAACTCAGCAACCTAAATACTGAAAAGAAGAGCAGAAGACATCAGACAGTAACATGCATGTAGCTTTTGCTATCTCATGTATTCAGACACCACCATAGAATATTCTTCCAGGCTAACAAAACCAGATCAATAAACATGGCACTTGAAGTAATTCATATCCACACCAAATATCTTAAACATAAATCAGGAAATTTGTATCTACATAAATCTGAAAAACTAATGGGATGAGGGAATCCTGCAGATAATATATAAATCCAATTCTGCTTCGTCATGTTTTACTTCATTTTAGACACAAGAGAAGAGCAAGCACCTATCCAGTTACCTGTTATGTAAGACTGCTGAATGGCCAAATCTGTTGACATCATGGTGGAGATCAGGTCTGGGAAGTACTGACCAGCGATCACAAGCTAGAAGCAAGAAAAACACATTTAAGAGCAGACTGGCATTCATAATCAAAAAGAACTGGCAGTCTCCATGAAAAAGGATATAATAAACACAGCCTCATAAAACACACATCTCAACTTTCTTAGTCATGCTATTATTTCTAGGGTGAAAAGCAGCAGCAGTGAAAGCAATGTAAATTAGTTAATACATCCAAACCCATGACATCCCTGCTGTCTATCACTCATCCTACAACCTACCAGAATCTTTTCTTTTTCTTTTTGCGGTGCTGGGGATGAACCCAGGGCCTTACATATGCTAGGCAAGCACTCTACCACTGAGCTACATCCCAGCCAACCAGAATGTTTTCTACGTTAAAGAAATTTTATATTTATAAAGTTTATGTGAGTAAAACATGTGGTTCCAAAATTATTTTCTACCGATCTCTATAGAGTTGCCCAGACTCAGTAGCTACAAAGGCAAAACACAGGTGGAAAATTAAAATTAAAAAAATTTAAACTTTATCTAATTTTTAAAAAGTCATTTTCTAGTTGACCTAGATCTGCTGATTTTCTTTGTCCAGACCCATGCTACCAGCTTCTTCTCTGGACCTCATACCATCTGGCACTGCTGCACCTTGCCATTCTCACACTATCTCACTCTCTGAGACATTCACCAAACCCAGGTTCTTCCACTTATCCGGACCATTACTCCACCTTGACAGCAGCAGCCTTCACTGCCTTCTCCTACCAGCTTTGATCCTTGTCCTTCTCACACGGAGAACAGAGGACACAACTCTCCCAGCTTCTTGCCTACCTTGTTTCTTTCTAAAGCCACAGGGCAGCAGCAATTCCTTCCTCCTATCCCACCCCCAAAGGTCCCTTTCCTGATGCAAGTTTATATCCTCTCCTTTGGGCCTCCAACATCCTTCTTCAGCTTTCATAGCACTGAACTATGCCCAAGATCAAACTATTCTTTTTCTCTCTCTCACCCCCTCTCCCTCTCTAACCCCCCTACCTCTCCACTTTTCCCTCCCTCTGAGACACTCACCTTATCCCTTTTCATATCTTTTTTTTTCATTTTTCTTTTATTATTCATATGTGCATACAAGACTTGGTTCATTTCTCCCCCCTGCCCCCACCCCCTTTTTCATATCTTTATAGACAAGTTTTTTTGGTTTGTTTTTTGGTTTTCTTAGACAAGTTCTTAATAGAAGTCAACACTCACTGCATATACACCTAACCTGGCGTTAATTTCTCAACTTTCTACAACCCAGATTATTTCTCTATGACTAGAAGGTAATAAATAATCTTTTTATTGCTAAATGGGAAAGACTATCAAGTCCTTATTTTACTTAATCCTTCTGCAGCCATATTAATGCTCCCTCAAGAGGTCACTAATTTCACCTATTTTCCTACTTGTCTGACAAATTTTCAGTCTCCATTCTCATTCAGACATCTCTATCTGTTCCCTGACCCCCTTATGTTCCCTACAGAAATTCACACCTCCTAGAACTTCCCACCAGCTTTCTGCTTTTCTGTCCCACAGAAATCTCTCTAGCTGAACATATCCTCATACTTACTTCTATCTGTTCCTCTCAGATCCTGTTCTTCTACTTTTATTCCTAACCTTGGCAAAAGGCATCATCTACCATGGCCCACACCAGATACCTGGGAGTAAGGACATTGCATCTTTCTCAAAACACACCCTGGGCAATCCTCAAGATCCTGGTAGTCATCAAAACACGTTTACCTCCTTATCTTCACTGCCACTTTGACTATCTTGGTTCAAACCCTCATCAAGATCGCAGCAGCAGTCTCTTAAATGTCAATGTGCCCCTTCTGAGTCACTCACTACAATGCTGCTGAAGAGATCTTCCTAACATGACTGTGATTCCACCACCTCCTCTGGATGACTCTTCTAAAGCCCACACTCTTAGGCATGACACATCAGGATTCTTAAAATCTGAACAGCCAGATGTGAAAGCAGCTTACTTCTCTAGTTTCACTTAAGGACACTGCTGCGTTTTGTGCATGCAGAAGAAAATGACTAAGCTTAAGTATGTGCCATGGTCACTTCTCACTTCTATCTCTCTGTACATGAGCTTCCTCTGCTTGGGAAATCCTGCCTCTAACTTTACCCAGCAGACTCACAGTGCTCCTCAGGACCCAGTTTGGATGGCCCATCCTCAAGAAGGCCTTCCTTTACTATCACCAATACCCCCATGACAGGAGTACTCAGAGGGACCCCCACATATTCCTTTCATCAAGAAGTATCCAGTGGGGTGCCAGGGACTCACACCTGTAATCCTAGCTACTTAGGAGGATTGTGGTTCAAGCTAGCCCCAGGCAATAAGATCCTATCTTGAACATGCCCAGTATTTTTAAAAAGGGTGTTGAATGGCTCAAGTGGTAGAGAGCCTGCCTAGCAAGTGTGAGGGTCTGAGTCCAAAGCCTTATGTCACCAAAAAAAAGAAGAAATCACAATTATACTGTTTTCTCATCCTTATGCCTCCTCCACCTTGAGGCTAAGGGCTGTAACTTACTCATCTAATCATCCCTAATGTACAAGCTCAGTGGTTAGCACATGCATGTCTATTAAAAATGAACACTTAACAGAATAGTCAAAATTATGGAGACACAGACATAATGGGTTGGGGTTACAGGGAAATGAGTAACTATTGTCTAGTAGTAGAGTTTTAGTGTTCCAAGATGAAAATAATTACGCAGATGATGGCGTTAATGTATGGATAACATTATGAATATATTTAATTCCACTCAACTATAAACACAGAAAGATTAAGATGGCATATTTTATATTATGTGTATTTTACTACAATAAAAAGGTAATACAAAATGGACAATCTGGTGTTTATACAAAAGAACACTTGGTAGTACTTGTTTTTCATGAACAAATAAGTACTGCCCTCTTCTGGTCAAGTATATTATCACATTAAGAATATGTATGAAACCAGTTTTCTAGGAAACAAAATAAAGCTAATTCATACTTAGTCCACTTTAAAAAAATGTTGGTGATTACCAGCGCATACCATTACTTTAAGTCATGTGTAACAAAGGAGAGACCAGTTACCTCAACTCAGCCTTAAAAATTATCATTCAAGCAATTATGAAAGTGATTTCAAAAAGAACTTAACATAGAACTAAGGCTTTTTAATAAATGTGTGACTACTAAAAACTACTATTGGGACCTCTTTCAAATGTTCCTACAGTTTTAAAATGATGACAGCTTCAATTTCTTTTTAAATGTTGCTCACAGATTAAAAAAACACTCACGAAGCTAAAACGGCTTTGGGAAACTTACCAATGTCATAAGCCATGAAATCTGAAGAGAAGCATTTGGCTCCATGGCTCATGGAGGTGTCATTGTGTGTATTTCCTCCAAACACCAGCATGGTTCCACTCACTATCACAGCTGTGTGCAAGTAACGGAAAAATCGGCTGTCCTTAAGAATGGTCCTTTTGAGTTTATTTAAAAATAATAAATACAAGGTTAGTTCTTAAAGAAAACTTATCTGTCTGCTAATGTAAACATAACCATTTATTAACTTCAGGTCCAAATGTGCACACACTTCAGACTTTTCCTTATATAAAAGTAACTTTCTCAAGAAATTTCTAAAATTCTAAAAATCTCTAAGAATTTTAGCAAAATACACTAAAAGTCTTAAAATGTTCAAACCTTGTAGTTCTAATTAGTTTTTGGTCAAAAATTATGTGAAATACAGACAGAAGCTTATGCACAGACTTTAATCAATAAGGCAAAATCTAGAAACCAAAACTTTCAACTGTACACATAAATTCGATATGCCCACAAAATAAAATATTATAGTCATTAAAAATGATTGTTTCTATGGCAGACAGAATGAAAGTCATAATCCATGGCACATTCTCAAATATGTGAGGAAATACAAAGCAGGGGAGAGAAAAACACTGCTTTATAATTACATTATTTCATAACACAGACTTACATTTGCTAAAATTAGTAGACTTCTTACAGGCTGACCTTTAGTTCAGGGTGAGACAAGTTCTACCAAGTAGGTAGAGAACACTACCTACACTTTGGTCATCAAGACAATGTTAAAAAAAAATGGATTTATCTTGACTAGAAGTGTAACATTTGCCTGGTATGTACAAGAACTTGGATTTAATCCCTAGCACCACAAATTTTTTAAAAGGGGGGGAGGTTTATAAGTGTATACAAAACCAGCTATAACTTTAATCCTTAGGATTCTGCAGAGATAAAATTGTACAGTATTGCTCACTGTATGAAAACTGACAATCAATCCAAAAGTGCCAAGTATTTTCTACCTCTTCTGCAGGAAAAACCACCAGAATAATGCAACCAAAAAAATCAGTCACTTTATTATCCTGTGCTTCTTTCCTAATTTCTCTACATGTAATGCTGAGCAGAATTATCCGCAGGCCTGAGAACAAAAACCTAACACATTTCCCCACCGAATGCTCTGCAGAATTCACACCTTAAAGTGAAAGCTAAAGAAAAAGCACGCACCACATCTGAGTGTCCACATCATATCTGTACAGGTCATCTGCAAGCCGGTATTTATTGGCACTGAAAGCCTTGTAGCCACCATGAACGTACAGGGCCTTCGTCCTGGGATCATAAACACTGCTGTGGCCATAGCCACCTTGCACAAGGGCACCCTGGGTATGTAATATACTCCACGTGTTCTTATCTGGAAAGGGCAAAACAGTTAAAGGAAAGTGTCGCAGGCTCCTTCCCTAAGTCTTAAAAGTCTAAGTGGCTTAGAGTAAGAGAACGGAGTTCAGGAGAGTGCATACACACAATTGTATCTCTTTTTTTTAAGTTTTAAAAGAAGGCCACCTTCTTGGGAATGGTGGTGCACAACTGTAATCCCAGTACTAAGGAGGCCAATTTGGGATTACCAGTTCAAGGTCATTCATTCAAAAAAATGAATATTAAATAAATAAATAAATAAATAAAAGAAGACCACCTTAAACTTGTAACAAAGCCATGTGGTCAAACTCAAATCTATTAAATATTCCAAAGTTCTAATATGCTATATAAGAAAAGAATTTCATTAAAGTTAAAAAGACTCAGGTTCCCCTCAAATGAACATTTAATACTCTATGATGTTTAGTGACCAATACTCAGATCTACTTCATAGGCCTGCTTTCTCAAAATGTCAATTATAGCTGATACTCCTACTGTATGAAAAGTTTTATAAAATAAAATTTAACAAGATAAAAAATATACACTAAGGGGAAATCACACTCCATTAAACCAAACTCTAAGGAGCTACCTAAAATTTTTTTCAGAATATTTGTTGTTTTGAGTCATTTTCATTTATTTTCCTTTTAATACCCAAAGCTTTAGTGCCATCTTTGCCCCCTCGCAAACTAACAGTATCAAATACATACTACAGAGGGGCATCAATGATCTAAATTTCACGGGCAATACATTAACTGTGCTTTCTCAATACAAAGTACTGGATCAAGATTAGGTTGAATCTTATTAAACCGTCCTAATGATAGGGTAGATGCTGTAAATCTGATGCTCAAAATACATCCACTGGAAAAAATATACCCACCCAAGTCATACTCCTGCACATTGCTTATATATCCGTAGAGTGGGCAGTGACCGAATATGACCAGCATAACCACTCGGCCAGTTTTCAAGGTAACAATGTGTGCTGAGTGCCCAACCACTGCATACTGCTCCTTTGCCTTAGGGGTCAACAATACCCATGATTCATTATGAATATGAAACACTCTTAACTCATTGGTCACATTTCCGGTTGAATCTATTTTTCCTCCATACATGTATATTTTATCCTAGGGAAAAAAAATAAAAAGAATTTTAGAAACCTTAATAGAAAATAATTGGTTCAAAACCTCAACAGTATTTTTAGCTTAAAAATGCACCTTTCAGTAAATTACTGGGAAAGGGATAAAAAAACAAAATAAAATAAATTACATTCTATTTCTCTAAAACTTCATCACTTTTCTTGGACTTCCTCACATGAGATCTATTTCAGAATGAAATGACTTGGAACAATAAAGCTGGTTCATTCTACTACATACCTACACAAACAAGGAAATGAAAATGATTGTTCAGTCACATTACATTGTGCTGATTCTTGGAACTTGCTAATAAGCATAAAGGCTATAGATTACTATACTTTTTAAACTGTATTTCTAACCATTTGGTACCATAATCATAATACCTACTACAGTTTGAATCCAATAAAATCTCTTGGGTTAGAAAATTACTTCAATTTCCATTTACAACTTAGCCAATCATGTACCCTCAATCCACCAAATAAAAAGTTTTCCCCAATTAAAAACCAACATTGAATAGCATTTCAACTACATAATATATACAGGAAGAACTGAGTTTTCTGCTTAATACAGACTGCAGACATTTTACCTTATACAATGCCAAAGAATGACCGTATCTAACAACAACATTGTTCACAGAACGGTTTAGTGGGAGCCATTCCTTCGAAGTAAGGTCATACCTACAAAACAAACAGATCATGTTTTCACCCAAATGACAAAAAAGAACATCGTATACTCTTTTATTCATGATATAATCCAGTTTGGAAACATTCATTATGTCCACCACATCACCCTGGCAAACACACCTCATACCTAGGCCCACCAGGCATATGACAACTCAGGAAGGGGAGCTGGACTACATACCCCTGGCACAAAACAAAACTGTAAGTCTATTGGAAGTGTCTAACGTCTACTGAAAACCTTGCCTACACACAATCTAAAGCACTTGAAAGTTTCATCGTATTAAAAAGGACTTAAGCTTAATTTCTTACAGTTAATTTTTCATTCATTTAATCATGAAAAACTGAAGACAGGTTCTGAAAGGGGGGTGATAATTAAGTAAAAGAAAATTAGTAATCTTTATCTTTGTTTATCTAATTGATTTAGTCTTAATTCCAAGAAAGCCAGAATACTACTCTAGCGTTTCAATACCATAAATTTACTTAAAGAACTGTGAAAGTACAAAAATGCTAAAAGAAAATAATTCATACTCCTGCTTTGCAATTTATGTTCATTCATACATTGAATAATCACACTCAGTATCTTAAAATATTCACTGTTTTTCAGAAAAACATCACCATCACTCTTATAAAAATAGTTTGCAAGATCCCATCTCCTTTCAAACAATCAGAGCAAAATGAACTGGGGGCGTGCTCAAGCGGTAGAGAACCTGCTTTGCAAGTGCAAGTTCCTGAGTTCAAACCCTAGTCCCATAGAAGGAAGAGGGAGGAAATGCATGTGAACATCCAACACTACAACCAGGATACTGATTATCTCTGGCATTTTGGAAGAATATCAAAGGTCTTCAACCGCATTAGCAATGTTTGATTTCCAACCCCGTGGTAAAGGTATTTCTACTCATTATTTTTTCTTCAAAACTGTCCTTTGGTCTTAAATTGGTATCAACTATTACTTTGTACATAATATTACACATTTTTAAAAGTACATGAAAATTTTAGACTTTAGTTTTATCTGTAAGTATTTAGTTTTACTAAATAAATTATTTTATTAACTAAATTTATTCACTTAAATCTCAAAACAAGTTTTGGACAGACTCTCCTAAGAAGTTTTGAAAGTTGAAAACCTCGGCACATACATTTCCAATCCCATTTCTTCTTCCCAATTTTGTTATGTAATTTACAAAATGTGCATGCTCATAATATCCACATTCTGTTCTATCACTGTAATTCCACAGTGACTTAGTACCCAATCTGTATTTAAGCTGAGGCAATTTCCTCACAGCCCTCCACCACAACTTCTACTTCTTGAACTTTTCAATTCTTAATTGGCTGGATTTCACAATCAAATAATGTTTTGCTGTTGTTTGCTTATTTGTTTTTGAGACAGGGTCTTGATATCTAACACAGGATGGCTATGAATCCACAATCCTCCTGTCTCAGCCTCCTGAGTACTGAGATTACAGGTGTGTGCTACAACATGCAGCTCAAATAATGGTTTAAAAAAAATAATACTCATATATATACCTTTCCCTTAGCTCTCTCAAGTTTAAGAACATCTGCTTAATAGCTTTACAAATGAATGACATTTTGGCTGGGTATATTTGTGGTTCATCCTTTCTTTCTTTGCAGGTGCTCTCACTTAAATGTTGCTGATATCAAATGTTGCCATGGAGGGTTGGCAGAGTGGCTCAAGTGGTAGAGCACCTGCCTAGCAAGCATGAGGCTCTGAGTTCAAACCCCAGTACCATTACCAAAAAAAAAAAGTGTTGCCATAGAGAAGTCTGAAGCCAGCTTGATTTTTTCCCTTTTTATGTGGTTTTTCTGTCTGGAATCCTGAAGAATCTTTCATTGTAACTCCCCATCATCTCTCTCCTTCCTTCTCTGTTTTCTTCTCTGTCTCTGTCTCTTTCTACCTCTCTGTATTTTTTTTCTTTAAAGTCACAATACTGTATATGTTATCAAAGTAGAAATGACTTAAATTCATCCAGGAAAAATGTTTTTACAAAATGTCATGAATACCACTGTAACACTTTTGTAGAATTCTGGCTGAGGACTTCCATGGCTTCCTATCATATACATATACCCTATGTGACTGTAAGTTTGACAGAAAGAAAGAAACAGAAAACAAAAACAAGTCTCCAGATGCTCCAAGTGGCATGGAGGGTTGCTCAATCTGTATCTATCTATCTTTCTTTCTTTCTTTCTTTATCTGGTGGAACTAGAGTTTGAATTCAGGTCTTCACACTTACAAAGCAGGCACTCTACCACTTGAGCCACACCTCTGGTCCATTTTGCCCTGATTATTTTGGAGATGGGGGGTCTCACAAACTATTTGCCTGGGCTGGCCTTGAACCACAATCTCAGTCTCCCAAATAGCAGGATTACAGGTATGAGCCACTGGCACCCAGCTTCATCTAAATCTTAATGCATTTTCTCCTCCTCAGTCAGCATGTCAGCCCAAGAGCTTATAAGAGATACTTAGGTGCTGGCAGGTCCCCAGAATCTGGCTAAAGTAAACCCCCAAAAGAAGCTTACATAATAGGCTGTCATTTTTTTCATAACACAGAGAAGCAAATATAAAATGAGAACAATATTGATAAAATATAACATAAGAAATTCTCCTACTGGGAGCAGAGTCAAAGATAAACTATTAAACAACTAATTCTAAGACCTGCACAAGCAAATAGCAAAGACAAACTTCAGGAGTTCAGAAATTTGTGTCTCCCATACAGCTACAGCTATCTCTTTCACAAGCCCCTCTATGACAGCTGGAATGCAATCATGCCACAAGGTGCATACTCCACCCTCGACAGTGGCCTGGTAACCAATGACTGTGTCTGGTCACCCCAAAGATCAAGCAAGGGCTATGCAGAGACAAGGCATAAACCCAGCCAGCAGGAAGCACAGAACTACCTGAAGCTTCCCAAACAATAATTTGTCCTTTATCCTAAAAGTTCAAGAACTTGATCAAATCAGGTCTTCTCACTGAGAAATTATACAATTTTCCTGAATGACTACCTTGTACTATTTCAATCCACTTATTCTATCTGTAAGGGTCTTTTCTTCAGGGACAGCTTTATATATAATCACTTCCTGTCTTTCATGAGTTTTTGCTTTATTCTAATTTTCAACCCGTTCCCCTGTGTATTCAATTAGAATTATCTCAATCTATCAGTCATTCAATTTCATTCTAGGTTTTGATGAACTTGACTTATTTCTCTTTCTTTAGGTTCATTTCATCTTACTATCTTTAGTTTGTATTTCAACTTGTTTTTCTGAATCCAAATTCTCATTAAGTTTATCTACAGCAGTTGAAAATAATCTCCTTGAGCTACCCCCTCCTTTCTTGGGGGAGAGGTTGAGTCAGGATCTGGCTACAGACTCCAAGCTAACCTAGAACTGATGATCCTCCTGCCTCTACCTCCTTAGTGAGATTATAGGCATGTGCCATTATACCCACTGAAGTTACTTTTTTTTATATGATGGATTCTTGTCAGAGTCTACATAGTGCATTCTTTCTTCCTCTTTATTTTTTCATCAAAAAATATTTGCATCAGTTACAATATCACTTCTTTCATCTTGTCTGTGGTTAGACATAGCTCTCCAGACATTTTGTTTGTAGTACAGTGACTTCTTAATTCTGTTTCCATTGTATCTAGATAAGTTGACTGGATTGTTACCCTGGTTTTAGTGTGAGGGCTGGTACTTTATGTTCTATCCACTTCACTGAAGTCTGGAGAAATGCTTGGATGAAGGTATGTGCAGTCTGTTAGGATAAAATACCTAGACTCTTCTCTCCTCTGAGAATTTCTTTAAATGTCCTATGTAGATTGTATCATTATTGAAATAGGAGCCCTGATTCTGAGGCAGAGACAGCCACTGGGGCAATTTCTACACTTTTCATTTGATCCTCCTCCTCTTCAGTTAAAAGAGTTTAAAAAATAACAACAAAATATTAATACCCACTCAGTTTGCTTCTTTCTAGATTTGTGACTTTTGCAGGGTGCAGAAGGGGTCACCCTTGGTGTTCCCTTGAGTTTGTTTTAAAGTTCATTGGATTACTTCTTTCCTTATTTGGTTACCTGTTACTCAATGTCCTAATATTTAAAAAAACAGTATCTATACACAATGGAATTTTATGCAGCCATGAAGAAGAACGAAATGTTATCATTCGCTGGTAAATGGATGGAATTGGAGAACATCTTTCTGAGTGAGGTTAGCCTGGCCCAAAAGACCAAAAATCGTATGTTCTCCCTCATATGTGGACATTAGACCAAGAGCAAACACAACAATGGGATTGGACTTTGAGCACATGATAAAAGCAGGAGCACACAAGGGAGGGGTAAGGATAGGTAAGACACCTAAATAACTGGCTAGCATTTGTTGCCTTTAACGCAGAGAAACTAAAGCAGATACCTTAAAAGCAACTGAGGCCAACAGGAAAAGGGGACCAGGAACTAGAAAAAAGGTTAGATCAAAAAGAATTAACCTAGAAGGTAACACCCACACACAGGAAATCAATGTGAGTCAATGCCCTGTATAGCTATCCTTATCTCAACCAGCAAAAACCCTTGTTCTTTCCTATTATGGCTTATACTCTCTCTACAACAAAATTAGAAATAAGGGCAAAATAGTTTCTGCTGGGTATTGAGGGGGTGGCGGGGAGAGGGAGGGGGCGGAGTGGGTGGTAAGGGAGGGGGTGGGGGCAGGGGGGAGAAATGACCCAAGCCTTGTATGCACATATGAATAATAAAAGGAAAAAAAAAAACATTTTTTTCCTCAAGGGAAAGAAATTTCATAATGAAGTTTCAACTGGCAATCTTAACCCAGAGGCCATTTTTTGCAAGAGAACCACTGAGTGCCATAAAACAGGAACTGTTTTGTTTTTGCTTTTGCAATACAGGGGTTTCAAACCAGGGCCTTGCACTAGACAGTCACTCTACCACTTGAGCCACACCTCAGCCCCAGAAACTGCTTTTGAATATAACTTAAAAGTTTTG